TATATATATATATATATATATATATATATATATATATATATATATATATATATTACACGACTTTGTTTGTAGGATATCTGATAAGCTCGTAGATGAATTGATAACAGAAATTGGAAAGGAGCTGGAAATGCATGATGTTATACAAAAACTCTTAGAATTGGAATTCCAAGAATTTTAACAAGAAACATGCAAAATCGTATTATAAATTTAGGATATTTTATATACAACTTATACAAAAATTGACAGAGAATGTCAATTTTTTTAAATAAAATATTAATTTCGTACAATATGCTATTGTATTCTGTAATGTAACTTAACCCGGGAGTGGGCGCGTATCGGTCATTTCTACGTACTTTTTCGTTTTTTACTTATATCATCTAATCTATTGACATTATCGTATTTTCGCTTTTACGTAAATTTTCTTTGATGTTTTCTCGTATAGCATGGAGAAGTAGACGGTATAGACACGCTTATTTCTTTGTGAAATTTGATACGTTTTTAGCAGTCGGTTTAAAAGACCATAGCGCGCCTACTAACGTTAGTCTCTCATCTCTGCCGCGTCAGCGTCGCCGAACGTCTATTGTCTTTCCGAATCGTAGTTGGACGGACGGTTCTCTTTTTTTTTGTTGAATCAATAAAATTTTCAACAGCACGCGTAATTGGAATATATATTCTTGATTCAATAGCGATATTAAAATTAATATTTCAATCACATAATGTATTGAAACAATACATTTATTGAATGTATTGAAACAATACATTTATTGAATGTATTAATGTATTGAAACAATAAATTATCATATAATGTATTGAACCAATACATTATGTGATAAGTTTAATATTGCTATTAAACAAAAAGATTTATTTTCTATTTCTAAATTTATCAAATAAATTTTTAAGTTTATTAAATCAATGTTTAAGTTAATCAAAATAAAACGAGAGAAGCAAGAAATTCTTATTTTATTTTATTAAACTAAAAGAATGTCTTTTTTTACTAATGCAGTTAAAATAAAAATGATTTTATTTTTGAAAATAGGAAAAAAGGCTAATTTGAGTTCAAGCATGGTCGTAGTAGTGCTATATTACCTGAGTTGGTAAAACATTCCTTTTGTTAGGAAATAGAGTGATTTATTAATAACCTAAATATAAAGATTTTATTTTTAATTTATTCACATATAATAAGTTTAATATGTTTCCTAAACATATAGATATAAAAACATATTAGATATAAAAACATATTAACATATAAACATATTAACATATAAACATATTAGATATAAAAATGGTAAAGAGAAAAAAAGATGAGAAAAAGAAGAAATAGTGACATAATAAAATTATTTCCTTCAATTATTATGTTTCTTTTAATAATTGGATTGGTAATTTATTAATTATTACTTAATTCTTACACATATATGTTCTTAAATATATTTCAGTCAAAATGACCGATACGCGCCCACTAACGTTGATCCCGTTAACGCGCCCACTCGCGAGTTAATAAAGTTCAATTCATAAAATTCAAAGAGTTGTGTAAGCGGCTTTTTAACCTTCCTCTAGCTCGCATCGACTCCAACGCCGCGCTCGGCATTTTCGTATTTTATAATCGATTAATATTGAATTGTATCACTAGCCTTACAATTGCAATTCGTCTATCACAATAGAGTAAAGGTCGTCTGATCCGTCGTTGAGAAATACTACTTGGAAAATGAGGTATGGTCGACCATATTATTGAGTTATATCACGACCTCAATTTCTTCTCGAGGAAAGCGGCTCGTAGCGGAGACTTTGGAAATAATTTTACAAAAATAATGTTGAATCTATCTATGTATTACTATTGGTATCTATAAATCTATAAATGTATTACTATTGGTCAATTTTTTTTTTTTTTTTTTATTAAGATATTATACATAGCCTTTAAGTGCAAGCTTATTTGGCTTACTATTGGACAATTGACCAATATGTACGGTGGCAACTCGTAGCGGAGACGTCGAAACTAATTTTACAAAATCTCCGCTACGAGTCGCCACCGTACACATTGGTCAATTAACCAATAGTATTACATTTAACATAGATAGATTCAACATTATTTTTGTAAAATTAGTTCCGAAATCTCCGCTACGAGCCGCCACTTTCCTCGAGAAGAAATTGGGGCAAGATCTGGCTAATGGGACATAGGAGCTGCCCTTGGCCAATTTAACAAGAAGAAGAAGAAGAGAAATTGGGGTCGTGATATTCGAATAGACATAGGGTGCTTTCCAATTGTTTAACATCTTGACACACACGTACACAACCAATTTATTGGTCACATATTATCTAAAATATCTTCTAAGATAATATGCAACCAATAAACTGGTTTTGTGTAACACAGTTTACGCAACTGGAAAACATCCATAGCATCTAGATCCGACATTTTTTGTAACCCTTTATTCCTAATAAAAAAAAAATGAAGTAATATGACTCAATATGGTCGACCATACCTTATTTTCCAAGTAATATTTCTCAACGGCGAAACAGACGTCCTTTACTTTATTATGATAGACGAAAGTCTACAAGTTGTAACTTCTCCAAAAATGACGCTATCAGAACAGTTCCTAAAATACTTTAAAGCTTGAAATTTCTACTTTTCAATCATATTAAATCCATTACGTTACTATTATTTATTGCTAAGAGATATTGAGTTAAAAAAGAGAAATTAGGTGCTTTCCAGTTACGTACACTGTGTTAAACAAAACCAATTTATTGGTTGCATATTATCTTACAAGATATTTTAGATAATATGTGACCAATAAACTGGTTTTGTGTACGTGTGTGTCAAGATGTGTTAAGCAATTGGAAAGCACCCTATATTATAGAATTTCAGTACTGGTAGTGAATTTCGGAACACGCGCAGCCTAAATCAATGGTCTCAGTTGTAAAGAATAAATTCATTATTCTACCGCCTTTTAACAACATTTGAACATGTAATATATAATTTATATATAACATTATCAATTATATTACTTTAAAAGTAGTTTTAAAGAAACAAAATGAACCGAAATACTGTCTTAAAACTTTATAAAGATATATTGAAGTACGGAGAAAATTTGAAATTCACGGATAAAAAATATTTTCGATATAGAATACGTCAAGCTTTTAAAACGAATAAAAATCTGACCGACGAGACAGCAATAGATTTCCAATTAAAGGTAAGCATGATAACGTGCTAAAAATTCTTAATCTCTTATCGTCCTTAACCTATAAGTTACAATTGACATGATATTTATTTCAATTTGTTTTTATAACTAATAAATTGATATTATTTCTGCCATCTGCGGGATTTCTCAACTTTAAATTACATAACTTTGTATTAAAATTATCACACTGCAATTCTGTCTTTCAGAGCTAATTAACTTTTCTTTTTAGAAAGGATTGAAATTTTTGGAAGCTCAAAAAGTGTTGTAGATACCTTGATTGCCAAAAGATTTAGCATAAAAATAAGACATCATGTTCATGAGGTTGTCCATGTATTTAAAGACACACAGTGGAATCCACGCAACGGTCAACTGCAATGACTTCCTTGCACTAGGTGTCATGACCAATTGCGTGCAGGAAAGTGCATGGATTCGCAATAAGTCTTATAAACATTACCTCGATTACTCGAACGTACCTAAGCTAGATGAGGCCGACCTTGAGGAACAATTTGTTCGGGGCAGTGGACCAGGTGGTCAGGCAACAAACAAGACAAACAACGCAGTGATGTTAAAGCACAAACCCACTGGGCTTATTGTCAAATGCCACGAGACGCGCAGCTTATGGGACAACCAAAAACGCGCGCGTGAAATTCTGATAACAAAGCTCGACAACTTATTGAATAAGGAATGCTCTATCGAAGCTCAGATACGTACTATTCAGGAAAAACAGCTTATACGGAAGAAGTACAAGAGGAAAAAATTAGCAGAGATGAAGAAAGCGTTCCAGGAGCGCGAAGGCTTGACGTGACACGATTTGTTTGTTACTTTGCTTAAACCTTTTAGAATATAAATTTATCTTGGAAACTTTTTAGAAGTAGAATTGTTCAAAGGAAAGTGTTATCCTTTGCTCAGAATACACTGATAACAATTAATGCTAATAATATTCAACGCCAGTTAAACCAACTGAATTCATTTAATTGCATTCTTTAATCAAAATTATTTTTGATATTATGATAAAAACTGTAATCTAAAAAGAAAAACGAATTCATTATTAAATAAGTTAGAAATATAAACTGAAACCTACGAAATTTAACTTAAAAATATTTTCTGAAGTTGTAGGGAGATATATAATAAAATATATAATGAAATATATTTTAATGGAAAATTCGTATCTTTAATAATAATTGTGTTTCTCTTTCTGAACTCATGAGACTTACAATAGGTTTACTTGAAATAAAGTATACGGATAGTTCCGCTGGGAGAATCAAAAGATTCAGTAATGCGCATCATACAGAAATGATTACACTGTCATAAAGCTGTATGCAGTCTTGCGTACTCTAAAATATAATACACTCTACGTAGAAACAATCTTCGATATACTATGATACGAGAACGAAACGATTCTGTTATATCATCATCGAGTGATGCACAATTGTCTAATGCGAAAGAGGGGAAAAAACTAGAAAAAAAGGGAAAGAAGAGACAAAAAGAAGTGATACAATGTTAAATTGAATGGAAAAAGATAAACCTGGAGCATCTGTTTCCGAGAACACAAAGACCGCATCTAACAAATGTATAGTGTAGGGGATACCGTTTAGGCAGCGTTAAAACTAATCACCGGGAAGAACGGTACTAAGTAAAACGGTATCACTAAAAAGATAAAGAGAGAGACTGAGAGAGAAAGAGAGAGAATTCTATAGTGTGTCAGCGATGTTAAATACTATTCTACGTACACAAATAATATTTTTATACACAATGTACACCACAGCGGCGACGGGTGAGTCGACTACTTTGCCATTGTCGCTTGACCGAGTCGCGATTACAAGACTTAAGCCGAAGTAGAGTTCTCCATTCGATCGTTGTTCGGGTCTTCAGCTGTTTTTCAGCCACCGGCCGAACTGACCGCGACCAGACTTGAGGCGCTTCTTTACCGGTTTGGCCGTGCTCGATCGCGACATGGCGGAACTTCTCAGCCGTCTGTTGCTCGCCACCGTCACCGACAGAATACTGCTGTGATCAATGTCCACCTGATCGTCGAGCTTCATCATCCGCACGACTGGCTGAAAGTCGATGCTCGAACGACGCTGCCCCAAATCGACCGGCGACAATTCTGGCGGACTAATGCGCTCCGACAGCGGAGTGCCGCAGTCCACGTCGGACTCTTGGACGGACTCCGACGAGACGGCTTCGCTTTTGCGCTTCACGCCTACGCGTACCGCGGTGGTAGGGGCGGTCGTAGTCGGTTGCTGCTTCTTATTATTACACGTAATACTCAGGTAGGAATCCTTTTTACAGTTCTCGTCCTCGTACATCGCCGCCGCGACATCGGACGACGAAAGGTTCGCGGCGGCCGGCGGCCTCGATTGCCGTCTTCTCGACGCGTAGATGCGTTTCCGCGAACCAACGCGCCTACGCCTGCACAAGCCGACACCGTGGTGACGCTCCTCCAACAACGATATATCCGTCGGGCCGTCGGTGTTCTCGGAGTTACGGCGTCGTTGTTGCTGCTGTCGCTTCGGCGAGAGCTCGTGGTGCTTCCTAGGAACTACTATACCAGATTCTGCGTCCTTCCTACATGCCAACAGGTTGTCGTGGTTCTCGATCTCCGTGCGCAACTCCGTGCAGGCCAATTCCGACGTGGCGGCATGTTCACGTTGACCGCGTTTTCTTACGGGCGCCTTCGTGATAAAGTTCCTCTCGGCGATCGTCAACGTGTTGGCGACGTCTTTCCGATAGGACGAAGAGAGCTGATTCTCGTTGTTGCCTGGGTCGTTCTCGGAGATCTCCTCGATTTCAGACAGTTCTTTCTTGTACGGGTGGTATTCCTTACTCGACGAATAACATTTCCTATTGTCCGTCGCGACGTCCTTGCACATCGTATTCTGCGAAACTGACGATTCCACATAGCCGTCGTCCGTGCTCGCCGGAAGTCCCGTATCGCTGGTTTCTATGCTCTTGTCTCCTTTCGCGAAGGTCTCATAGCATAATTTGTGAGACGCGGTGGAAGCACAGGTATCCAGTGGCGGGACATCAATTTCGCTCTTCACATTGAACCGTTCCGTGCTGTTCGATATCGCCGCGACGTTGCTTAACGTAGTAAGCGCGTGAGCATCGTTTTGCTCCGACAATCCGTTAGACACGACCAGCGTCCGTCGCTCGGTCGAGCTGCCGTTGTTCGAGAAAAGCCGCTTGTCTAACAATGTTTTCCGTTCGCAGTACGCGCTGTCCGTCAAGACTTTACTGCTATTATTGCTCGACAGTTTCCTCTTCATCTTATTGTCAGGCCAACCGGTCCGATTTTTCCGTCGTTTCCGTCGCTTAAGCGGACACTCTGGATTGCCTTCGCCGCATTCTGAGCTGGCGCACGACGAGTTCTCTAAGCAGTTGACGATGTCGTGACAGTTGTCGAGCAGCTCCAGTAGATTCGACGGCGCGCCCTTCGGCACGCTGGACTCGTAAAAGTCGGTCTGCATCTGCTCGTCTGGCTCGAACGAGCCATCAAGTTCCGTCATACCTTTCGCGCTCAGCATCTCGTCGATCGTTCTCGCCATCTCCTTTAGTTCCTCGTCGACCTCCGAAGTTTTGTTTTTCGCATCCTGCTTCTGCTCTGGTCGAGGTGTATTCGTACGCGATCTGGCTGCCGGCGACTCCTCTATCGTATACAGAGTTGAAGCCGGCGTCTGCTGCTGCTGCTCTCTCTTGCGAATAATGGTAGACATTATGGCCAACGTGGACGCGTGGCAACGTGGGCTTTTTCTCGGCGAGCGACCCACACAGCCAACGCCGCGTCCGCGACCTCTCTTCTTACCTTCAATTCGGCCGTTCAAGTTCTTCAGCATGGTCTCGGAAAAATTTTCGATCTCATATGGCAGTAAAAACGGCTTCATGGAGTCATTCTCGCTGAAGCAGTGCCAGTACTCCGCGCCCGTATCCTGACGTTGGTAAGTTTGATACCACGGTTCGGATTGCGGTACTGCTTCAAAGGAGAACTGCATCTTCTCAATCTCCGCTGACGGTTTGGACGGATAAATCTTCTCCACATCGTCACAGTACGCCTGCGGTCTGTTGCCGCCAGCTTCCGTCTCCGACGATTTCTTCATGCGTTCTCCGCCATCGTCCACGGCGTCCTTGATGCCGGTCAATGGAGCTTGATACCTCAATCTGCTACCCAGCGTTTCGAACTTATAGTAATCGGTGTTGTCCTTGATGAACGCCTCAGCCTGCGTACGTCTTCTTTTTCTTGCTCGACCGAGATGTACAGAGTCCTGCGAGTCTTCCTCGGTAACCTCTTGTTTCACTGGCGAACTAGAAATCAACGACGGCGAACTCGGTGACGCTCTCGTTTCGTTCGCTTCGCTCTCGGTATCCCTCGGCAGCACGCTGCTCTGGTCACCGTAACTAATATCGCTGGAATCGTCCCGTTTCGGTTCACCAAACATAAAGGACTCCGCCTCGTCACTGAGCAATGACAGTTCAGACTTCCTTACGCGTTTGAATCTAACAACTACCGGTTTCTCACTGGACGGCGCCTCCTCCTTCTTCATCTCATTGTCACCGTCTTTGGCGATCGCGTGTTGCGAATTACCACTTGGTATCGCGCTCGATCGCAATTTGTTTCCCAGTACCTCGACTTTGTAATAAGCGCGATTGTCTTCGATCAGACGCTCCTCTACCGATAACCGATGCCGTCCTCTGATGTTTCTGCCGCCTCTTCGACCGGTTCGTGGATGATGCTTGGACTTCGCATACCTGGTGTGCTCCCCTTGCAACGTCTTTGTGTGGTCAACTTTGCGGCTGTGTCCGTTGCAAACGATGTCGGACGTGTCGATGAATGCAGCATCGTCCGAAAACTTTCTCGCATCCATCGTTTGCAATGCGCAACTGTCCCTGTGGATGGTCTCGTCATTGCACAACTTGGATATATTTACGATAAAATTATTCCCGACTACATCTTTCTTATTTATCGCACACTCGAAGGGGCCAGAGTTCTCATCGCCGTTGCGTTTGTCGTGATCTTTACTCTTCAGATAATTCGCGTCTTCCGATATACGATGCGAATTTATGATGCAGTTCTGCGTGTGCACAACCGTTTGTTGCAGATTTGGCGGATCGGAATTGCTGTGCTTGCTGTTGATATTATCTTCCTTGTTGTGGTACACTTCGTCGAGATCTTTCGAGAACGGTTTGATCTTATAGTCCTCCTGCTTGGACTCCTTTAGAATGTCCTCCGTGTACTTATCCTCTGTATCCTCCTCTGCGATCCAGATAGTGCCCTTTGTGCGTTTCTTGATAATGCAGCCCTCGAACTTGTCGTAAAACTTGTCGTTCTTTTCGACCTCGTGCCATGGGCTGCCTTTAGATCTTAGGAGGTGGCCGCTTTCGTGTTTCGTACGAGCACGTAGATTGTGCGGTGAGCTTAACTTTAGATTAAGGTTCCTGCGTGCACCATTACACTGCACCATTTTTATTTCATCAACACTAAAATTACTTAAAGTCTTGGTGTTTTTGGTTACCTTCTCTTCGGGCAGTACTACATTGTGGAGATTATTATCTTCATTGGGGAACAAATTGCAGTCTTTTCTGCAACAGAAATAAAAGAATCGTAAGCGATCGCATGAAGTACACAATTATTACATACATATACATCGAAATAGAGAGAGAGAGAGTTTTTAATTTCTATAAAATATATTTAATAAAAATAAATTTGAATATGTTTGGACATATGATTAAGTCGAAATCCTGCTTTTCTGCGTATACTCACTCGATATCCTTCGTTCCGTTCAGTTTCAAGAATGCTTCCACATTAGCGCCTGCATTGATTAACCTGTCCAACGACAAAAAATTATCGTCGTTCCGCGCGAAGTTTACATGTTGCTCGGTTTGCACGTGCTTTGTCAGATCGTCATAATGAGTACTACAAATCTCGCAGTAACCAGAGACCAACTGTTCCGTTCTACGGGCACGTGCAGCAGTTGCGCGGGGTCTCCGAGTCATTTCTTTACCCTGCTAACGTAAGGAAGAGATTAACCACAGTTTCTCTATAACGTAAAGATTCGATCATGTCTCGAATAATCGTTAGATAATTGACAATACTACACAATAGCAGCAACTAACGCACCTCCTCCTTATTTGTATATTCAATATTCTTCTTGTTCTCCTTGACCTCTTTGCCAATTAATTTGCTCGCCTGCCTTTCCTGCTTCTTCGTGTCAAAAGGACACGAGCCTGGGTCGCCGTCGAAGTTTAAGGTCGGCCACGCTGATAATTCCAGAAACACTGGTCTAGTATTCCTGCAGATAGACACACGACATATATTCTCGAGAGTGTCGGCATGTACTTGTGAAGTATCGCGCGTGATTACAACACAATTACACGTACCTGCGAAAGGACTCGAATTTGACGTACGATCCTTTCAGATGCTTAACTTTCAAATCTTTCTCTGGGTTATACTGATTGGCCTGCTTCAGATGCTTCAGGTTATACTCCTCATGGAAAGATACATAGATCTTTTCGAGCCAAGTCTGAAGTTTATCCGTCGACCAGATAGGAATACCCCAACTCTGGGCGTTGTCTAGTAGATCCACGGAACACTGTTGCGGCTGTGTCAGAGCACGTTCCAACATTGCATCCACCCGCGATTTCTATTCGAAAATGCAGACGCGAAATTATTACTCACAATGCAAAGCGATTGCGTGACTGTTTGTTTATCAACTTACAGATCTCTGGGTAGTTTGACCCCGTAGATTAGCAGAGTTGGACGAGGGGCATTCAGAGCTAAGGAGCGGCGTCGGGGGTGTAGGAGTAGGCGTTGTGACTTCTACGCTTCTGAGCGAGCGTGGTCCCCCGCTGCCTCCGCTGGCGCAAACCCATTTATGTCTGTCAGAGTTCGTGTAGCCCGCTTTGTCCACTCTGTCGCTGACCACGAGACTTACACTGCGCACTAGGAACAACTCAATCGTCTGGAAATAAAGAACAACGCGTTGAATGAGGACGACACCGAGATGGCTACGCGAAGTGTTATTAGCGAACGGGCAAGCGGTCAAAAGCCAACACTCTGTGAAGCAACTACACAGGGACTAGTAGCCAGCTATCACTCAGCGCACATTCTCTCAGGTAGCAATCGCGCGCATTCTTTCAGGTCAATCGCGCACAACGTTTGGAACTCTATTCCATTCTTCTCAGGCCGTTGCTCCCCGGCCACGGACAAAGAATCTCCGCGAGCGCGACCGGCCGCGCTTGTCGCCGAGCGAAAATATGCGACTCGGGCTGCAGCCTCGGGCACTTTCCGAACGCGAGCGAAGCAGCCAGCCAGCCAAGGCGAGTGATCGACAGAGACAGTCCGACACTTTCGAGGAAGTTTATCGTTTGCGCAACGAGCAAAACGAACGTCGTCGGGGCGCGCGGTATAACATATACAAACAGGAGACGAGACGGGACGCGCGCGCGCGGGGCTCGATCGCCTGCTTACTTGGCAGCGCGGTCATCGGACGCACACGCTTACATCGCGTTAACGCTGACGTCAAGTGATTTCGCGGCCTTCCTCGAGTGACAAGCGGCGGCGGTGGCGGTGGCGGCGGCGGCGGCGGCGGCGGCGGCGGCGACGACGACGACGGCGACAAAAGTCGACCGTTACACGGAGGAACGCGATCCAGCGACAAAGCGCGCGCGCGCGTTCTTCATACAGCCGACGCCGCTTGCCGTCCGGTCGCATAGCAGCGTTGTTCTAATAATACAACGCGCGTCAGCCTCCAGAAGGCGCCAGGACGGCGTGAGGGAACACGTGGGGTCGTCCGTGGCGCGCGTTGTCCACGTCCGACGCGCAATCGAGCGATAATGCGGCGGCTTACAGGAACGAGGACGTTGCTGCTGTCAAGCGGTGATCTCGTCACGCGCGCTCGACTATTTCTTTCCAACGAGACTCTGCGGCGGCGACGGCGACGACGACGACGACGACAGCGGCAGCGGCGGCGATGGGTAGCGGTTGCTCGTCGATAGTCGTGGCACGACGGAGACGCGAGTGTGGATCTACGTGAAGCACCTATGACGACGACGGTAGGGAGACGCGAAGGGCGACTTGGAAACTGTTCTGACGCCACGCAACGATGCTCGAGCGAATGGAAAAAACGGCCGAGAAAGGAGAAGCACGCCGACGCCTCGCTGCTGCTACTACGGCTGCTCGCAGCGGACAACTGTCACGCACAAAATGGCCATTCGCCGTTAGCAGCTTGGCACGGGGGCCTGGAGGCGGCGCTCGGCCGCGCGCGTTACTCTCCGCTCCTCTCTCGTCGTCGACGCCGAGGACGACGTGTCGCGCGCGCTGCATTTCCGTCTCGGCCGTTTCGCTCGCACCGCACTATCCTGTCCTGTCGGCACAGGACACCGTCTTCCATGACGCGCCACGCTCGCCCTGTCATTTTTCGAAATCGCGCGACTTTGCACGCGGTTGCTGCTCAGGTGGCGCGACGCGCGCCGGTTTCTCGCGATTTGTTTGTCAACAGACGGTTATCTGCACGAGACAGCCGGCTCCGATTAGCAGCAATTTGACAGCTGACTCTATTGATAGATGTATTGCGAGAAGACTCTATTTGATGTTTGCGCTCCAACCGCTGCGGAAGATCGAATATCAGGCCTATTTGCGCGCGAGTTCGTTAAGAAATCGCTAGAGAAATTGAGCTCGGTAAAAGTGGCTTTTCCGAATATCATCGAATGGAACAAGGTTAAAGTGTATAATGCGTGCGGAATATATTTATAGCCTGTGTCATATGTTGCGCCGCAATCGTCGCGAGAGATTCTTTTTCTCTCACTTTCCTTTCGAATTCGTTGTTTCGGCTTTCCTTTTGAAAGAAAGTTTCATATCTCCGTGATGAGAATGCGATGCATATTACGTCGTCGAGTTTACAGGCCGCATGTACCGCCAAGTAGAGCACGACAGTGCGCTATTTATTGCGTGTACGAGCGTGCAAATGTGACTCAATGTGATTGCAGCGGTAAAAATTTCGACCCGTTGCTCGATCACTTCGTATTTTCTCTTCTCCGCAGCCGAGAACTTCGCACGTCGCTCTGAAGATGGCGCGAGTCACCGCGAACTTCATCGTGGAATTGTTTGTCAACAGAAAAATCGCCGTCAACGTGCGCGACAATGATCCGTGTGATACATACGTGCGTGCGTATAACAGTACGAACGTACGTAACGTAAAACGCCAACATGGTACTCGACGTTGCCGCTGCCTGCCTGCCTGCCTGCCTGTCTGTCTGTTTGCTTGTCTGCTGTCTGCCTGCCTATCTCTGCCTGTTTATGTGCCTGCCTGCGTGTCTGCTTGACTGCGAGCGAGCCGATGTGCCGCGAGAGAGGCTGAATTTAGGGCGTAGCCCGTGCGCACAGCTCAGTAACGACGTAACAACGTGCGGCGGCCTCGCGCGAAACACGGCGACTCCGTAACGCACGCATGCAAATCCCACTTCCTCCGTAATGCTTCGCCAGTTGCACCGACTTGGCCTCACCAACGTCGGATCTGTGTTTCTTTAATGTTACACTCGGTTACATTGCGAGTTGGACAAGTATATATCTTTGAGTCATTGGAGAACAAGTGAAAACAGAGGAAGGAAATTCGGAATAAAGAAAATAAACAAAAAGACATTTATCAGCTGTGAGATTAATATTTGGAACGAAGCAATTCGCGATACTGGTGAAAAACAGAGAGGAAAGTGTACGGATTCCAAAGGCGCCTCACTTGAAGACAATATGTCGAAACAAGGTTTTTTTCAATTCTGTCTCCGGGAAGAGCTGGAGAATCAGTCGTCTCGGTTAATTTCGCTCGACATTTGTGACAAGTAGCCGTGGCGAAATTTAGACATCGCGAATCGGGTTTCCATGTAAAGCTACCAGTTACGTGTTTTCGTGACCTACTTGTGAGAAGAGAGTAAAAGTAAAAATAAAACTGAAGTAGAGCCTATTGGTGACACGTTCTACCGGTCATATCGGTACTTTTTTGCGAAATGAAATATAGTAAATTGGTCATTCGATTGTTTATCTCTATGTTGTTGTCGATAGATAACAAAGAGAGACTTTCATTTGATGACAAACTCGCTCCGAGGCGCGCATCTTTCTTTCTTTTTTCCCTTTTTCGACGATTCGAAAAAAGCTTGGAAAGTTTATAAGCGTAATTACGTTAATTTTGTTCTAATTGAATGTAGAGTCGGATGGGGATCGTTCCCGGGAAATTAGTTTGAACGCGACGTGGAAAACTGCGAGGCTGGCTGGCTGGCTGGCTGGCTGGCTGGCTGGCGGGCGGGCGGAAGTTCGGCCGTTGGCGATTGACCCGGTAAGATCCGTGCGCGTTTTCGGGAACGAGTTTGCCGTTCCGGCAGTTCGATAATCGCGCGCGTACTCAGTATCGCGCGCGCGGCAACGGGGTCGGCTTGAATGGCCGCGGAACGCATCACGAGAGGAGATTCGAATTTTTTTGCTGCGCCTCCCCTCAGCGGGGGAGCGCGACGAAACGGCTGTAGGCATAGCGATCGAAAATGGCGGGAAGAGAGGAAGAGTATCCGAGAGAGGGGCAGAGAGAGGGAGAGGAGGGGGAAGAGAAAGAGGAGGGAGAAAAAGGGAAGAGAGAGAGAGAGAGAGAAAGGCAGAGAGAAATGGAGGGAGAGACAGAGGCAGACAGAGAAAGTATGAGAGAAGGAGACACACACTCACCCAAAATACACCAAAACGCTCTGACAAATCGATAAGCGCGAAACGAAGCGGGAAACGCGTACACAGCCTACTACACAGTATCCCGAGAGAAGATATGAAATGCAACTCACTCCGCCCAACTCCTTGATCTTCGCCTCTAACTTGGTCGCAATCGCATGGTTCTTTATGTCCAAATAGAACGACTTCTTTTCCAAAGGTTTTTGGCCCTTTTTTATACGCACATCTACAAAAGAAGTTTTAGCCAAAGTTCATACTTCGCTCTGTACCACGCGCGATGACGATACATGGTCGTATCGCCGCTCCGCGAACATACGTAACCGAAGTTTACGGGACGTTAAAGAGTTTTTTTTTTTTTTTTTTTTTTTTTTTTTTTTTTTTTTTTTTCTTTCTATGTATTTTTCAAGGACGCGATAAAGAGAGTGTCAGCTCACTGTTAGTTGCTGTCTCACACGCACTTGTACCAACCGCTGTACAAATCACATGATACAGACAGTTTGGTGCAGCATCTAACCAAGCGACAGTAACGAGCAACGTTGAAATTATCTACTCACGTCCAAGGGGAACACAGAGGATAAAAGAGATGCACGAAACATCAATTATCATTAATCGTTCGCGTCGTGTCCAGCGAGAGAGAGAGAGAAAGAAAGAAAAACCAGCGGTGATCATTCAGAGTATTTATCACTGGCAGCTGTAATACGTTTTTTTTCTTTGCTTAATTTGTAGCATCGTAGGCTCAGACAGAAAGAGAGACAGAGAGAGAGAGAGAAAGAGGGAAAGAGAAAACCGTCTGATCCATCGTACAACTCAAGAGGACCTCTATAATAACACATGTATACACAGAGCAGTATAGCATAAGTTTCTCCGCTTGAAGGACTACAGATACTCTCAGTGATCACCGTCTCGTTGTTGTTCCCCGCCTCCCGCCAAACAGCATACACGCTCCTCGCGAGTCGGGACGGGAGAGTACTTTGATGTACGTGCGCGACGTACGTTAACACACAGCCGCGCCCGGACAAACTTGTCTCTCTAGCACAATGTCCATTAACGGGCCGGCCCGACCCGGCTCGGCCCGACGCGTTATTATGCAACGCACGAATTACGCGCGCGACGCAGCGACTAACTTACGTGACGCTCGCTGATCGGACTTGTATTCTCTCGATGGCTTTCTATCTCTCAGTTGCTGCTGCTGGGACTGCTGCTTGGACGGCGATAGCATTCCTAGGCGATGATGATGCACTGCACGCACCGCAGCGACGTTATCTCGCACTTCTCATTGGCGTCCCTCGTCGTCGTCGTCGTCGGAGCACTTCCCATCCTCATCGACACACCGAGTAACGTCGCAGAGGCGCGGTCGCATACTCGCACACACACACACCTCTCTCTCTCTCACTCTTTCTTTCCGTTGGCACACAGTTTTCTCTCACTTCGAGTCACTGCCGTGTGGCCGGGAAAGACGCGATCACGACTAGCACTCTGTGAGTCGTTGACCGTCACGAGCAGATTGCATTTTACGCACCAACGTGCACCGCCGAAAGTCCTGCTCGCTCACTCTCCTCTCGTATCGTCAACTGCAGCATAAACTGAACATACGCGCTGAAGTCAGCGGCGAGAACGTGCGACAGTGTGCTGCGAACAACCAATCGCAAGCCGACAACTTCAGGGAGCGATTAGATGTAGCGCGGTATGCGGTATGTGGTACGTGAAACGCTGTAAAGTAACTAGAAATCGCGCGCGGTAAGCCGCGTCTGTTTTCTCCCTCCCATTACGGGAGCGGTGCACTTGCACATGGTGCATTTGGACACAGCCAATCACAGCACCGTGTGATTAGAGACATTTGTAGGGTCCTTGGAACAGCGACTTGTGATTGGACTGTGTCCAATTGCCCCGTGTCCAACTGATATACACCCTCCCATTACATGGAGCAGAAACTGTGCGAAAAGCGGCACGGGCTAATGATAAATTTTCATTTCTATACACTTTTAAATTTTTACTTATTAATTGATTTAAATGCAATTAATAAGTAAATTTGTTGAAAAAATAAGAATATTGGTAAAATGTGCATAAAAATAAGTTAATACATTTTAGAAAATGAAAACAAATGAGAATTTGTCAGCACGTGCTACATCTAATCGCACCCTCCAAAATGCTTTCCATTCGTAATCCGGCCAAAGAGAGAGACAAGGTCTGGTTTACATCGGGTGCTTTCCAGTTGCGTAAACTGTTATGGCTCCTGCACACAGGACGCGGTAAGCTTGCCGCGGTATGCTTGCCGCGCGGCGAAAGTCCGCGCCACAGCCAATCAATATGTTGTTTTTCCGTAAGAGCTAGAAGGTTATTACGGAAAGCAGCATATTGATTGACTGTCGCACAACTTCCGCCGTGCGGCAAGCATTACCGCGTCCTGTGTGCAGGAGCCATTACCAATATAACTGGTAAAACCAGTTTATTGGTTGCATATTATCTTACAAGATATTTTAGATAAATATGACCAATAAACATTTCAAAACATCTTTTTCGAGGAAAATTTTATTCCTAAATCAATAGTTTATGTTACATACACTATAGATTTAAGAGCTAACGCACAAGCACATCCGTAACATGTTATGTTACGTTAAGTACTGACAATGCAATAGCCATACTTGTACGTAAAATTAAACTTAAGCCAACGCACAAAGAAATTCATAAACTTAACATGTTACGGATGTCTTGTGCAGAGGCTCTAAAAGTAAAATTTTTCTCGGAAAGGACGTTTGGAATGCAACCCTATATTCATTGAGCTTTTGCATCTGATTGGTTTATATTTTTAAATTAATACATACCACATACAAGTGGTCTGTTCTTTTCAGCTGCACTGCCTATTATGGATTTCTTCGGAATCAATTCCGATCGGAACATTCAGTTATTTCCTAGATTTCTATTGTCTTTTGTAGGGGAAACGAAATTATTCCGATCGGAATTGATTCCGAAGAAGTCCAGGGGTGCGTTCCGTTTCTACGCATGATGCGCATGAAACGCAGCGTTAGAGTGACAGAGATACGAGAATGAGATAAAAAGAGAGGGAGAGCACTAGGTGAGGTTGTCGAACTTAGGTTAGGTTAGTTCTCGAACGCATGAGATCGCATGGACTGCACTACCTTGGAGCTGAGGCAGTCATGCGTTCGAGAACTAACCTAACCTAGGTTCGAGAATCTCACCCGAGTGCTCTCCCTCTCATTTTATCTTACTTTCGTATCTCTGTCACTCTAACGGTGCGCTTCATGCGCATTATGCGAGGAAACGGAACGCACCCTATAATAGGTACCCTGAACTGGTGCAATAAGTTAAAATGAGACAAGTATATGTTTTCTCACTCTAACTTATTGCACCAGTTCAGCAGTGCAGCTGGAAAGAACAAACCAAAGAATCGCTGAGTGGTGTAGTACTAAATGCACTCGATTCTTCATGTGTAAGGTGCCTTTACATGGGAGCATCGAGCGTTAAAGCGGTAGCCAATCAACGTGCCACTTTCTGCAAGAACTATAAGTATACTTCTGGAACCTGATACGTTGATTGGCTAAAGCTTTAACGCTCGATGCCGGAACGCTCCCATGTATTGGTACCTTTAGTGTTTAGTTCGTTAACTTTAAATTTAAAGGTTATATCAGAGATGAGATTTAGATTTTTTGAAAATGTATCTACAAATTTTGTGTACAAATGCGGTATTTGCATCCAAGTGTTTGTATTTACAAAAAATTCCGTAATTATAAGAGGAGAAATTAGACTAGAAAACTAATATTTATTTTATCACTTCTTAAATATATAAATGCAGATCATGTAACATTTATAAAAAAAACTACGTTTTGTTTTGTATATTGTTTTGTTCGTGGCAAATAATACTTTGTATCTGTAACAATGTATCAAACTAAATTAAAAACCGTCGTTATTTACATAGTTATTTGAGTAGAAACTTTATAAAAATATACATATTCTTAAACAATTGTTTAGTAGATAGATATAGATATTAGTATTTACAACCATATGACATTTATGACCAAACTATTTCTCATAAGAGATTCTTCAATATTGACACAAAATACATAAATATGTAAGTTGCAAACTACTCGTCAAAATATCATCATTAAGGCTCCTGGGGAGTCGCATCATCCATCTCCTTTTAATGACGTCAGAAGCGAGAAAGCATGCTAAAAATTCCTGCAAAATACGTCGAGAAAAACAGATATATCCACAAAACGACATTTGCGATCGATTAAGTACACCTCTAAAATACTCCGTACACTTTCCTTTTGTTCTAAAAATCAATAGATAATCGGAAATATGATAAGATAATGAGGAAATTAGGTTAGAAAAGACGATTGCACGTCACATTTATTTTATAATTATCTGTTGATTGTTAGAACAAAAGGAAAGTGTACGGAGTATTTTAGAGGTGTACTTAATCGATCGCAAATGTCGTTTTGTGGATATATCTGTTTATCTCGACGTATTTTGCAGGAATTTTTAGCATGCGTTTTCTCGCTTCTGACGTCATTAAAAAGAGATGGATGATACGACTCCCCAGGAGCCTTAAATGTAAAAATTATCACAAAATTTATATTTTACTCTGTATTAATTAATTGAGATGCATTTGGTTGCATGGTGTTGTAAGTATTTGTAATTTCATCCTTGTTTAACGACGGATTAGAATTAGACATCCTTTTAGCCTTTATTTTTTGCCTATACTGATAAATTAACTTTATGATGTACAGGATCGTCAATGGTATCGGTGTCATGATCGCGGAAGACACAGGAATTACTGAAAAAGAATTCGATAATTAGATAATTATAGTAATATAAGTATACATGTATTAGGATACACTCACCAGTGGTTAGATCATCAGCAGGTGGCTTAAGGGTGAATCGTAACAAAAATATGGACACACCTGTGTTCTGAATACCAGTTTCAATAGCTATGGCTCGTATGTCGGCTTGGGGTTGCCTGCACAGTTTTGCTACTATGAAACCAAACAAAAAGCCCAACCAAGGCAGGCCCATTCCTGCTATTACGATCTGAAACAGTAATAAATACATACATCTGCGTCCTATTATATTCCCTGCAATTTCATAAAAGAAATATTGAGTTACCTTCCATGAAAATAGTTTGAAAAGATACATGTTAGTCACAATGGCGAATATAATGATGAAAATAATCAGAATCACAGAGAACGGTTTCATTATTCGTATCAATATTCTCGATACTTTTGGAAGCTTTCTTTGAATGAAAAACCCTATGGCTAGTGGTATCACGAGGCCAACTACAACTGTACCAATCTGACCATAGGGTACGTTGAGATTTCCCTGCGCGAAGATATATCTGCCCAATGTAAAGATCCAAAATGGCATCATTCCTACAGAGAACAGTAAATATTTTATGATATATGAATGAAACATATAAGTATAATTATTTGATATGATATTCCTTACCAAATGCAGCAATAGTACATAATGTCGTCATTGTGACAGACAGATTTAGATTGCCTTCAAGTAATACTGTCCAAATGTTAGAAGCACCACCACTCGGACTTATTCCTGTGAAGAACATTCCTATTTGTAGTTCAGGACGACCAGGAAATAAAATATTTCCAATGGCAAAACTTAACTGGAAATAAAATAAAATCTGGGTCATAGGAAATGTGGATAATAAAAGATTATGCAAAATATATGACTGTGCAATGCCTATTGCTTGTTTTGTTCTTAATAAAAGAAGATTTACCAATGGCATGATGAGGAACTGGCAGAAGAAACCTATGGTTGGACCTATTGGCTTTTTCAATGTGTTGCGACATATATCCCAATCCATTGCACAGCCAAAATTAATATACAGAATGGATACAAGCACCGCAACACTGATAGTGAATATGGTATCTATTGTACGTATCTGTCGTGTTATGGTAATAACAGAAACATCTTCCAATTTTAATATCTCCTTATTGTCCTTTTTGTTTTAAAAAAAGAACTTTTAGTTGTATATTAGGAATTAAGTGACAGTTTTAGTTACTCACTTCTCAATAGCTTACCCCACTTTTTGTTAGAGTAAATGACAATTTTGTTGTACCAAGGAATACACCGGTAACATTTAAAACACCATTAAAAAAAGTTCCATTGCGCACCAATTTGTCACTAGCTAGATTTGATCTTGCTATATCATTATCCGAATGTGGTATTAATATAAAGTTTGGCACAGGAGGATCATGTAAGACGAATGGAACTGACACTACATCATTCATGTGCACAGTTATATCAGATGCAATGTCGATTCTTGCTGCTGCTGCTGCTCCTTGTAATATTAAATATCCTATTACAATAGTTACAACCGTCATTTTCTGTAAACACACCAAGAATAAAACCATCAGCGCATTGAATTGATCCACTTCTTCAAGAGAGAGTTGAAACAAACTATTACACAACTCTTTTGAAACTGAACGTAATTATATTAATGTCATGAATTAATAAGATGCGATAAAAAGGCAAACGTGCTAAGATAGCTCGAGATAGCTACACAAAACGTGACATATCACAACTATATCCATTGCGGAAAAAAAGTGGACTTCTTTATTGGAATTAGAGAACATTTCCACAAAGTAAAGAAAGAGGGAAGAAATATTTGTTGTTATCTCGGGTGATAAACGCTTTCTACGCAATTAGAGTATTAGCGATCAAAACGTCTGTACACACGTACCTTCACGTACATCGGCATTTTGCACTTCGACGTAGTGTCGCATAAGAAGTGCTTGACACATGTAAATACAATCATATACATTGCAAATATTACATCACGTACGATTCACGCAAACAATTAATCTTTATCTCTTATTAGTTTTTCACAAGTAATATTAATAGTCATCATTTGTGACGAAACATCATAAATAATTGCATAATCGGCACGAGATTGTACCGCCATTCTTATGCACAATATGGTAGGAGGTGCTGGTTTGGATCGGATGCGATTCTCTCAACTTTCATGCTAAATATATGCGACCGCTGTTCTATTTGTCGTAAACACACAGATGGGCAAAAGCGCGTTGTATTTTTGTCTGAGATATTCGTCGAACCGGCGAGATAACAATCACCAATGTACTGAACGTTGTGCTAATCAGTTTGTTGAGTTCTGCTATGACACTCTTTTCTCATTCAGTCAATTCGCCGACAATGAACTTGAATCAACGCAAGGCAGTCTTTTGGTATGCGGAATTACTCGAATTCTTTGAGTCGATGCTTTTCCAGGAAGTAATTGGATGCGAAATTGTAACTATAGAGGTATTTAATGTTGGAAAGATGCTGAAGCTTTCATAAAACGAATAAATACGATCCTTAACTTGTCGATTTGCAGGTCTCTGTTTTGCGCGATATTTAATTGAAGATTCAATTATTGATATCCTGAATGGTAAAAATTATAGAGAAAACTCCAACGAAGAATAAATTTTGTTAGAATACATGATGAAGAAACGTCGGTTCCTCCTTGCTACTTTTAACAACAAGTATTAATTCTCATAATAAGCAGTATAAAACAAGTAATGATTTACGATGTGGCAATAAAAATTATTGTTTCGCAGGTACTGCTTATGCTTCGCTTGCTGAGGATGTGATTTGTCTTATACGCGAATAAAATACTTTTACATAAATTGCGAAAGCTTAGCCTTGATTTGCTTTCGGAATCTCTTGGATCGACAAAAGTCTAAAATGTCAAGTCTCTTCGGTATTTCATTCTCCCGAGCGAGAATTCCATCGATCTATCGCATTACGTCAACACGACTGTCCATCGAATTTCCCAACTGATAAAAATCGGTATTCGCGGCGACAAATATTACACAACATCAAAAATATGTATAAAAGATATTTTCATAATTGACAATGACTCATGATTGATAATAATTAGTTCAAGGACACTTACGTTGCAAAAATTTGCGATAGATTCAACAGCACTCGCGATCACGTCTTGCGTCGAACACGTGTGATTTTTCTTGTGCTACTGCGATAAGTTCCGTGCGAACGTTTGACACGAATGCTGTGAATATACGTTCCGTGTGACCGTTTGGCGCGAATGTCCTCTGCATATTCTTGTTTCTTCAAAGATCCCTCTCCTTCGCTTTCCAGTAGTGAAGTGCATCCAAGAGTGGGAGATGATCAGCGATACTCCGTTATATCAGGAAATAGTAATACTTATCAAGCATCTGCTTTTATTTTATCTCTCTACTTCTTCTATTTTTTTGATTCTTTTTCGACGCTACTATCTCCTGTAACTTATTTATTGCGCTTAAAGTTTCATCGTTATTAATATCAATATCATAAATGGATATAGCAACACAGGAATATTCATCATTAAGAAATCACACAATAGAAATAAGATAATTGATGCAAAAGAGATTCAATGTACTGGAAATACGAAAACATTCCAAGATAATATTCCAAAATATTCCATCAGATGCGAAAAAGTAGTTACAAGTAATCACATATCTTATACAAATCGAGAATAGAATGTTTTTCCGTTGCAGTTGATACAGAAGCATTTAGAAAATAACTTGATTTGCTTTTACCTGCTTCATGTTTCACCTTTTCCAGACTCAAGATAAGACAAGCGTAAAATTGCCGTTGAAGCAAAAAAGGCTGAAAAAATGTTAATACTGGCAAGCACGTACGCGCGACTGTACATTCGCTGAGAGTAATGAGAAACACTGTTGTCGGTAGGAAAGGTTCGGCTAGGTAGCGATAGGAGGTAGCTGACAACGTCCTGTCAGTTTCGTCCGTGGAGTAATACACGGCTGGTGGTCGTAGCTTATTGTAATGCCCATCGCGCAATGTCTCACCTCGTGCAATTCAGCAGCTCACTATTTTGCGTGCTCCTGCTCGCTGTTCCCATCGCCTATGGTTTCTCCTACGAGGATCTACCGGCAGTAGCGATGGAATACAAAGTGCACATTGACGCTGGCAAGGAGGATTGCTACTTCCAATATGTAAATCCGGGTGCAACTTTCTACGTCAGTTTTCAGGTAGGAGTCGCGACCGCGGAGAGTATCCGCAATCACGACTCGAGTCGGTACAGTGGTTGACCGCGGTGAAGGCGTGGGCCAAGGGAGCGATTAACGAACCATATGGCCACACGGATTCGCGCTCCGAAATCGTTCACCGTAGAAACGTTTGACATTTCGGATAAATGCGCGAGCTCAGTGACGCGTGGCGACGGACTAGTTTGTTTTGACAGCTGGCGCATGTCGCAGTATTTCACGATTCGCCAGATCGACTTGCGATTGACCTCGTTTTGTGACACGTGTTCGCGCATTTCCAGGATATGCATTTGTCGGAGTTATATAAGAAATTAATCTTTCTTGGTTGTGCGCGTCATGAACCGATATGTACCACTAGGATCTTGTCGATTTCTACCTGCAAATATGATATAATAAAACCTGGATTAAATCGGAGTAAATAAAATGTGGGAAAGTACGTTTCACAGATGTGATGAGACAGATGTTGATATGAGAAGTGAAATGTTACCAACGCGCGTGTTGATTAAAGTACTTCCTCTGGATTGTAGGTATTGCGCGGTGGAGATGGAAAAGCTGGCTTCGCTGTGAGGAATCCAGAAGGGGTTTTGGTTTATCCTTATCAATGGCGGCCCAGTGCAGACTATCAGGATACATCAGTTAATGGTGGCTATTATAGCGTGTGCATTGATAATCAGTTTTCAAGATTTGCTGCCAAGCTAGTGAATCTATACATTACAGTGATTAGGTAAGATTATAAAAATTAAGCAAGCACAAGCTGCACATGATATATTAGAGAAATACAATGCACTATCAATTATCGTATTTGTTACCTGTCATTGTAGATATGATCAGTGGCAGAAGTACAGCAAGGAATTGGAGGAACTGAATCTTTCCGTCGAAAACTTTACAGTATGTTCAAAAAAACCTTTCCAGTGCCTCATGATGTGTACCTGTTTCATTTATTGTTTTTCCTTTCAGAACACAATTGTAAATGTGGAGAGAAATATTAATGAGATGCTCCAGACTCAACATTTGAGCAGAAGCAGAGAAGCGAGGGATTTAAATTTGTTGTTGGACAATAACTCTTATGTACAGACATGGTCAATTGCACAAGTGCTCGTTATCACGGCGACAACTTTGATTCAAGCATTTTTCGTCAGAAAGTTATTCGATATTAAACCATCTGGACATTCTAAAACACGCATTTAACATTAGCGAATCATATGACTAACTCTTGGGTCAATAAGAGCAAGATAATGGTTGAGTATCTGTTGTGATCAAACAACCGCATGTTTACTGATTAAACTCATGTCGTACACAAATTTAGGTAATGACATAAAGCGTAAGCGCTTTGACCGATTCATTACAATGGATCTGGTGAATTGCAATGCTATGTGCATATTACAAGTTTTTAATATGCGACGTAAATTGTGTTTGTTTTATCCATCGATGCTATATGTTGTTTTGTGTCTTTATGTAAATTTATGTGCAACATGATACAGACTGCCTGAATATTAATTATGACGCAGAAATTTGTGATACATAAAAATTGATTAGGTGTAGCAAATTTCTTGGGAGTAATGTGGTCGTCTTTTATACAAAGCCTCTAGTGAATAAAACTTGAACTTCCAGAATACAAAAATTTAGCGAAACACTCACAGAGATTTTGCATTTTTTCATCAAAACTACGCATATGTGCAATATACACACATACTACTCATATTAGTTTTAAAAAAACATTTTTAATAATTTTTATGGAGAACTTTAAATCCGGGTATCTTTTACAGTAATTCCGGGTATCGTCTTCTTTTATTATGTTTATGTTATGTGTATATTTTCGAGTCAAATCGCGTTCCACACCGAGTCAACTTGCATACCACAATACAAGACTGCCTCATACTTCACATCTGTGGAAGCTACATCCATCGATCAATTATTAGGCAATCATAATCTGTACTAGTTTTCACTTTACTTTGAATATATCCTGTATATGTGAATATAAGCCGATGAGATATTTAAAAATGGACGTGATTATGAATATTTAAAAATACATGAAATAACATTTATATTGTATTTATATATATAAAAATAATAAACAGAAACATACTTTTGTTATATCCTCTCCTCCCTTTCTTCGTGTACTTGTATATGTAATACACAGGTGACATATTGTAATATATTTTCTGTCGTGTCAACTTTCCATAGTTCCGTAAGTTTCCCATAAAAATGTTAAAAAATTGCTCCACTTTGGCGACGAATAACATTATATTGGCACATAATTTAATCGACTATGAAATACTGCAATATAGCGCGGGAATCGATCGCATATAAATAAGTAACTTAACGATGATCACAATTGTCCGAGCAACCTATGCTCCCGTAATACTCCAACTTCATCAATGAGTCACTTGATTGTGTTTCGCCATTCTCTGCTGTATTACACTACTGCTGAGTGTTAAAAGACGGTGTCGTTGCTTCAAGTTCCGCGCGCGTATGTGTTCCGATGCGATCTCCTTCGTATAATTTGCCGGATACCATCCTTGTGCGCCGCCTACTAATTTCTCACCGTGATACCAGCCGTCTGCCATTTTCCTCAACACGTTTATCACATCACCTGCGGAAAATATAAAATTTGCCATGATTGTTTTTTTTAATTTTTTGCACGTGAGAAAAAGAAAAAGAGAAAAGAAGAATAATAATTATCGAGTTAACAATTATATATATATTACCTGGTTGTAATGATAGCTCGTCCGGTTGATTTGATGAATATGGATAAATGGCTATCATTTGCGGACAATCCCAGGATTCGTATAACGTTTCTCCAACTAATCCACGTTTAGGTGGTGACGCCGCTTCCAGCCACCGTTCTCGTTCAGTATTATTTCCACACGTCAATACGTACTCTACGTGCCGGCCGGAATGGTTCTCCAAGAGAGTTAAAATCATGGCGTTTCGTCCTGCGAATGGCGACTCCTCGGAAGCTGATTCCAGAGCTAAGAGATTCCTCTTGCATGCATCTATGACAGTGTACGACTCGTCTTGAGTGCTGCAAAGCATTGAAAGTCGTTTGTCAAATCGCAAATTTTATTCAAGAAAGAATGTTTAGAAAAACTAGCACAGAGCGATATAAACTTACTTGGATTTCAATTTCGTGACTAGAAGATAATCAGTGAATAGCAAAAGGTAGAGTGGTGTCTTATTGAATTTTTTTCCAAATGTGAGCTTGTACTCGGTGTCCGTTTTCGTTGATAATTGCACGACCGATCCTTTTCTAACTAATTGTTTACCTCGCAGAACGATCGGTTTAATTTTTGCACAGTATTCCAATTTCCTACGATAATACAATAAATACAATATATATAATTTTTATTTTTTACATGCGAAATAAAAAACATATATATATATACATATAAATTAGCGGTAACAAACTATGTACCTTGCTAAGGCTTCCATTTCTGCCTCTTGGGTAGCGGTCCGAGCACCTTCGTTACATTCGGCAACGACGTTGCCTAGACTCGATAAAACTTGTTCCCAGCACGCTCTATCCAAACTTTCTATCGATAATTTGGAAAGAACCGCGTCGGCTAATAAAGGTAGTCTACGAATAATTATTTATCGACGTGTTAGTTTCATATTAATTTTCAAATTAATAGACGTAAACAATAACTAATTTTATGAAACACACAAAAACATTTCTCTCTTTCTATAATCGATATTTCTTCAATTTGTCTTATAATTTATACTAGTGACATAATACATATACCTTGTAACACGTTGCATTGGCAGCATCAGGAAAGAATGCAGAGATAAGTTTTGGCACGCTGGTCGCATCTCTACACGTTTGACTGCTTCCAAGAACTTTGCGCCTTTACGAGCTCTGCAATCAAAACAGGTGGTTAGTTACATAAACGAAAAATATAGTTCACAATTATTTTACAGACATTTTATAGGAAAGTGGGGGGCAGTTAATTGATTACCTACTTGAGATCTTTCAAAGTAGTGTCTATGCTGACTTGATTCGAGCAGTAGGTTACATAAGTGGTCTGATATTTCTCAGCGTGCTTTAGCAAGACATCCGACAGGCCCGGTAACATTGGGTCCTCTCTCCACACGGCCTCCAGTTCGGCCAGAAACGTTTGCGACGCCGACAACACACTCGTCACTCCGCCAAATAATTTTTTTACCTCAATTGGCATAAGGATTTCATGTATTAGCGCGTGATTGTTGAGGAACTCATTCTCTAGGACTCGCAGGGAATTTAAGTATGACGCCTCGGAGGTCAGGATTTCAAACTTCGCTTCCTGTATCTTCTTCTCCTCTGATGTCAGCCTCTCTAATTATCGAATAATTTTTTTTATTAGATTAACTGTAATTTCTCCTTATTTTTGGTATATTTTTCTAAGAAAACATTCTAAGAAACGCATATACGTTTATATTTAGATTTAGCGTAAACGTTTATATTTAATGCTTTTGGCTCACCTAAGAGACCACTGTGTATCACTTGCGGAGTATGACACCATAGCATCCTCTGTCCCGATCTAGCTAAATCTGCTGTAGCAGGACTTTTTTTCCACATAATATTTTCTACCTGCAAGAGAAAAGTCGCATGTAAAATTTATGTAACACGTTAAGAAATATTGCTTAAATACACGACTATCTATAAGATAGTTCCAAACGTTACACAAAATAGTTAAACGCACTGAATTCTAATCCAAGTATAAAATATAAGGTGTAATAAAAAGAAATCCATTATTTTTGCATGAAATTGAAGGCTTTATTTAGCATAGTTAGAATGATCCGATTTAGGTCAAATATGCACCGTTTTGTTCGATAACTTGTTGCCATTTTGAAGGTAATTCCATTATGCCTCTCTCATAGAAACCCTTGTCCCTATTGGCAAAAAACTGGGACAGTCGATTTTCACAAGTTTCTCTTGAGGTGAATTTTTCACCAACAAAATCATTCGCCATAGACAGGAACAGGTGGTAATCACTTGGTGCCAGGTCCGGCACCACTATAAGGTGGATGCATAAGAATCTCCCAACCAAGCTCTCGGAGCTTCTGGCGAGTCACTATCGATGTGTGTGTCCTGATGGAACACAATTCCTCTCCTATTGGCCAAAGCTGGCCGCTTCTGGGCGATTGATTCCTTCAGACGGTCCAATTGTTGACAGTACAGGTCCGAATTAAGAGTTTGGCCGTAGGGGAGCAGCTCATAGTGGATGATTCCCTGCCAATCCCACCAAACACACAGCAAAGCCTTCCTGACCGTCAATCCTGGCTTGGCCACCGTTTGCGCCGGCTCACCGCGTTTCGACCACGACCGTTTTCGCTTGACGTTGTCGTAAGTGACCCACTTTTCATCACCAGTCACCATCCGCTGCAGAAATGGGTCGATTTTGTTGCGATTCAGCAGCGATTCGCAGATGGAAATTCGGTCCATGAGGTTTTTTTGCGTTAACTCGTGTGGCACCCATACATCGAGCTTCTTTTTGTATCCAGCCTTATTCAAGTGGTTCCAAACGGTTTTTTGTGCAATGTTTAGCTCCTGGGCAATCGAAACAGTGCTTACATGACGGTCGGACTCGACGATTTCCATTATTTTATCGACATTTTCGACAATTGGCGTTCCAGAGCGTGGTGCATCTTTGACATCAAAATTACCGGAACGAAATCGACGAAACCAAAATTGCGCGTGATTGGCTGTTACAGTATCAGGACCATGAACACTATTCACATTTTCAGCCGCCTGGCTTGCGTTTTCGCCTTTATTGAAGAAAAACTGTAAAATATGGCGTATTTTCTCTTTGCTGGTGTCCATCTTTGACGCGCGCTCAAACAATACTGAGTCAAACAATCACAAAACTGTCTGAGAAGTTTTTTTAGTACGAAATCTTATCTTTCTAACGCCATCTAGCGTAAACCGATCGCATTTATACAACGCGAGATACACATTACTAAAGCCATCTATTGGAAAAATAATGGATTTCTTTTTACTACACCTTATATAATTAAACAATAAAAAAAACTGTAAATTTTCCAAAGTTTTCCAAAGTTATACAAGTAGAAAAGAATGAAATAAATCGAAGAAGAGAAAAGTTGTTTTAATTTAGCGAGACATAATCTCGCTGTGGATACTTATTTTAAGCATAATAAATGCGAGGAAATTACCTCTTCATAGCCTTCAGAATCCGATTCGAAAGCGACACGAGCCACCGCAGCTGCATAAAACTGGTACAGAGGCTCCTGATCGGCGAGTACGCTATAATGATCTGAAAAACGGTGAGATGATATTTTGCAGAAGAGTATTCTTTCTTTCGTGTGCAACAAACACAAAAACGATTGAGTACCGACGTGCGTGTATACGGATCGTAAATTCCGGCATTAATTAATTACGAGGAAGTATCATTAGTTCCGTGAAAGTGCAAGCGAACTTTTTATGCGTCGGTGGATTAGTGGCATTCTTAGCTGCGTGTGGGAATACACGCGAAAACCAGCAAAACTTGATATTTGATCCATGGGAACCGCCGAATGTAGTCTCTGCGTCTGATAATAAAATAAAAATCGCCTCACTTTCATGGAAGCTTCTTCAAGCTACTTTCCTTGCATATCCTCATTATAATATACGTGGCGGTTTTATCTTCAATTTACTAGTTTAAAATTTGACAACATACATGAAGACTATTTCCTAATTATCATAATATCATCCTTGTCTTACTTGAAACTTAATTGTAATTTAATTAAACTGTCGGTTTTATCGATACTACGTTTGATTGAGTTGAAAGATAAAGTTAAATAAAACAAAAAATGTAAGAAACTCACCGATATTGGTAGCGAGAGATCTCGAAGAGTCGTCGCTGCCGCTACCCATGTACTGGCTGTTGGTGTAAATTGCCTCCTTGGCGATCCCGTTATTATTATCGTTCGCGCCACAAACGTTATTTTTTTCATTCTCATCAAGATAAAAGGTAGATGGACTGGCGATATTTTTCTTAAAATGTTTGCGGAAGTTGAAGTACTTTCCGATATCGACATGATGATGGTGATGCTCTGACTGCTCCTTCTCGTCGAAGCAATCTTCCACGGATGTTCTTCTCCTAATCCTGCCGAGGCTGCCTTTCGTGATGCTCCAAGTTCTGCGTAACATTTTTACCCTTCTGCCGAGAGACTGAGTCAAACTGGCTTCTCGCGGGGGTGGTGGATTCGGTCTTGTAGGGCATTCCAAATAAGTATTAATCACGCAATTGCCATCACTCGCGTGACGTCGTGAATGTTGTCGTTTATCGCTCGTTCCTTCCGAGTCGGAACTAAAGTCATCCTGCTGGCAGGAGTACAGACTCTCGTACGTACTATCATCGGAAGTGTTGTCTAATCAATGGAAAGATGAAATAATTAGATAAAGAAATATGATACAAATATACACTATCATATCAGTTAATAAGTTATCAAGCAAGTATTGTATCCTAAACGGAGAATCCTTTCTGATATTAGAAACAATGAGAAAGAATTAAAGTTTAAACAGCGAAATAAACGAACGCGTGCGGGATCCTGCGACTTGATAATAAAATTTAAATGTGATAATATTGCATTAAATGTCAATTCTTCTCAGTTTGTACAAGCTCAGTTCTTAGCAAACTGGTTGTATCTTTTTAAAATAACAGGCGAGCGCATCAATAGCGGACCTTCGTGCACGTAACATGACGTTTCTTGTGTGTCCACATCCTCGTCGAGATTTACGACGCGCAACTGCACCAGGCCCTGAGTCCTGCATGGCGAATCCTCCTCGTTGCGGTTCGCCGATTGCCATTCTTCGGCGATTCGATTGGGCTCGCCGATGAGAAGTATCGATCCACCTCCGAGACTAACGGCCACTTGAAATCATCCGGTTTCAGGGTCAGTTACATGCTGCGTTCGGACGCGAGATGCCGAAGGCACGCACGCACGCACGCACGCACGCACGCCCACACGCGCTGGACCGACACAAGGAGGAACACCGGGCGAGAGCGAGAGAAAAAAGAGAGGAGAGACAAGAGAGCAGGGACAAATATGAGCGAGGTGGTGAGTCAAATATGGCGTGTACGAGGACAGCGAAATCCGTTCGGCTCGGGATTGCCCGCGCGATTTCATTTCCATCGGCAACTTTCGTTTCTTCGTCACGATCGTCCGTTAATATCGGCGATCGATGTTTTATATAAGAATCGCGCAAAACGACGTCATCGAACGCTCAGAGCCATGGAAAATCGCGATTGATTCTGAAGTGGTGAACTGATCGTAGACGAGTTACAACTCGTCTGTGCGTGAAACGATGACCGCTACTAGCCGACTACTTCTTCTGGAGGAAAGGGAGAGCACCTCGCGAGTGCATCTTACCGAACCGACTCTTTTCATCTCTCACTGAGAAGAAAGTAGAAACTCTAATTACTCTTTCAGGTTGGCAGAACTCGAGTCGTTTCTTCGAGACTGAAGACAAAATGTCAATTTACATCAATCAAAGCAGATGCAAAATAAGACGCGAGTCTCATCTCAATAAATTGAACCGTGATCATTGGGTAGCAGTAGAATCTAATAAAAATGTTCAGATTGATGAACAAGACACACACGGACGAACAGACGAAGATACTAGTCGGGACACTTGGAGTTTGCTCGTTTTCGTTTGAGAAACCAGTTGGTCGCTAAAACCAGTTAATGATATGATGATTGATCAAGTCGAGAGATATCGCGAACTGAACATTACGGAGTAGTTCGAACGAAGACGCGATTAGCTGGTCGCGGATGCGAGTTCCTCGTCGATGCGAGTTCAACGACGGCCGACGGATCAAGGACATCCGGGCTCCTCCGCGACTTTTCCGACTCCTCGCCATTGTTCCCCAGGCGCGTTTGCCTGAAATTTGATATTCCGCGGTCGTGAGAGCGCGTAGGCAAGCGGCGTGACAACGACAACAACGACGATGACGACGACGAAGACGGGCCCTCTTCGTCTTACCTTGAGTATTGGGTCGTCGGGAGAACTTCTTCAGCGTTTCTCTCATTTCTACATTTCGTCGACGCACAACACACCAGATGAACGCAACGCGTTCGCGACGTACTCTAGGAGAAAAAAATCTGCTTTTTTTCTTCTCTTTTTGTGCTCCTTCTCTTTCTCCTTTTCTTTTTCTTCTTCTTTTCGCGACTAGTAATCTGGCTAGCGAGAACACAAGATCGCGAGAGGCACCACACGATACAGCTCACGGCTCGGCCGTGACTGACAATGAGAGCGCGCAATTGGCGCTTTCACCTCGCGCGCTCGTTTCTTAAGGGTCTCTCACACGATCTTTTTAAGGCACCTTTCACACTATGCAGGTGTGTCTGAACACCTGGGTGTGTTTGGGTGATTCAAGCGGTACCAGATGTTTTCGGCTTCGTCAGCTCTCCAGATCTGGGATTTCTTGATGAAACTCCAAATATCGTTTCTCGCAGAGATTCCAATCGGTTTCCTATGAAAGATTTTGAAGATTTTCTTTTCAAGAAGTTTACCGTCGAGTGACAACGAGGATATAGGAAACGAGTACATATTGAATGCTTCCTTTTTCTAAAGGTATAACTAATGGATTAGAGCATAACATGAATGGTATGAGATGCTATTAAAGCATAACATGAGAGATTTTCATTATCGCGCGCGTCGAGCGTGCCGAGTAAGGATCCAGCCGATCGTTAATACATATTCGAGGCAATGACCGTGCGATATGAAACCGTCTTTCCATAAAACGGGACACTTGAGCACAGAAACTGTCTTCAGTTTCTTGCGGCGACGCGCGATCGCGCGCCACGAACTCCAATCTCGTCGAATTCATTACTATCATTACTTCGTTTTCACATCGCAACACAGTTATCCGCCATGAATCTCGATTTAATGGCGAGTTTCTACCTCGTATCAGTCGCCTGAGCAAGATCTTGTACAGTCGTTTTCCAATTTCTGCGTGTAATTCGCTGTTTCGCGCACGATGGCGTTCCGCCGTTTATGCGCCGTTCTTTCTCTCCCTGGAAAAGTGCATTTTTTGCGTCATCGCACCGCGACGAAACACCTTGCGACATCTCCACGTTTATCGAATGGTAGGCCCATGGCGGGCAATTTCGCGAAGCGACGAGGAGAGGAGAGAGAACAGACGATTATGCACGCATGTGCGTGCGCGTTACGTGATCAGTCCGTCGCTAAAACACGTGTGACGAGCAAACAACTTTTACCTGGGTACAAGACTACGTGATCATCCTTACTGATAGCACGGTACAATGCGTCCGTGTGAGTCGCGTCGTCGTCCGGGAATGGTACGCCGTCTTTGGTACGTACGACGTGTTTATTCATAAATTCGTCCATCATTCTCTTTCTCTCGCGAGAGGCTTCTCGCTATCTCCTCGATGTTAAATCGCGACTCTCATCTCCGATAAGTTACGTGACGGAATTTTCATACTGAGAGAAATTATCCAATAAAAAATTATCGAAAAAATATTTTCAATAAAACAATGATCAATGTTTATATCCGATTTGGAAACATGGCGATGAGGAATATCGGTTCTGAAGTTTCTGATCGGTTTATCTAATAAAATGACAATCGGAAATATCTGATTACATTTAATCGGATATCCTGATTGGATATGAAAATTGCTCGGATATGTATGTTTGATAATTTTTTATCCGACGACCGATGATTAATACACTCGACTCGACTAGAGAAATCGTCGTCGCGGTTCGATCACTCTCGCAACTTTGGCTTAAACCGCATAAACATTCCGATCACGTGGCGATGCAGCGGAACTCGGAATTAATGGAGAATAGGCGTTCTGCCGTGGCCTCCTCGACCTCGCGCGGCCTTGTCTTTCAATTACATTAAAGGCGGCACGCTGATACAAGTCGATTACACCGCCCACTGTCCTTCGGATACAGCGATCGCGGATTTACCGCGTCTCGTCGACCGATCCGTAGAATCGCGCGCGTAAGCCGCGAGAAACGCCTTCGCGGCCGTGACACTGTTGAAACACACGCCGTTAAGTATATAGCGCGGGTAATGGTCGTTCAAGCGGAGTCGCGTCGACTTGTTTCTGGCTATGTTAATTGAATTGACGGTGCCAACGACTCGGGAATCCCGAGGACACGCCGCTCGGAAGCTCTGATTGGCGTCTCGCGCCATATTGGAAAATCGATATCGTCATCGGAACTTTCTCAGGTGTAATTATAGACTGGTGACTTGCGAGAACGAGCGCGTCTCTCGAGGATGGTGAAATTCTCACGATCCGCGCGTACAAACGTCGATCCGCCAATATACGGCCGCCTGCGTATCCTTGACGACGTTATCTCGGAGGGAGAATCTTCATCACGGTGCCGCTCCATTTCTCGGCTCTACGAGTAGAATGAACGGAAGCTCAGTGCGCGACAAGTCTTGATTCTCTTGCCCGCGGTGATATTAAATTAAAGCGCGGTGTAAGCACGCTGTGTGCGGCGATGGAACAGTGGGAAGTCGTCTCACGTCTCTAAAATATCACGTCGACCACGCATGTTGTTACACGTCGCCGTATGTACACGCGATTTGTAGAACACCGACGATTGTAGCGGGAATCCTTGAAGGAGACAACCATGCGCGTATTCTTAGCTACATTACGTTACGGCGCGCGTTACCTAATAGTAAAATTTCCATCGACGAACTCACCGGCAATCACGGTGCCGAGGGTTGTCCGTGTCGTAGCCTTAATGCTTCTGCGAGACCTTCTGGATCGCTGTTTCCGAGTCTTTCGTGACCATCGTTGAGTGAACTTCTTCTTGCCCGATACGGCGGCTTGCCCTTCGTTCCCTTTTTCACTGTAATTGTGAATGTAACAATTACTTATCTGTCAGCTATCGTCAACGCTATTATTAATCGAGCTATAGTAGTATCGCATTAATCACGTTAATAACGTGTACATCATCAAGTGGAATGCGTTGATAACGAACGCGTCGACATCGCTCTTAATCGCACTGCGTAGCTATCGTGACGACCAATCCCCGTTATGTTTTCGCAAACACTTGCGGCGAATCGTCCGCGCTATTTCCTACGCATGTGTTAACTCTACGACGATTCGCTCGGCCGAGCAGTTGAGGGCAATTAGTCGCGATGTTTTCGATTTTGCTTCGTTATCGCTCGTTAACCAAGTAGTAGTAAAAAAAAAAAATATATAGTTTTCAAACCTTATCGTGTCTCGACGTGCGCCGAGTGAATTCCTATCGCGACGATACGCGCGTACAACACTACTCCCTACTTAGAGCGATCGTATGTATTTTTATATTCGACCGTCGCATTTTCAACTTCTCCCACTGTTGCATTTCCCCGATCGATATCGCGCTCACCATGGATCATTCTTCTCATAAGGACGTAAGACACTCGAGACCTCTTCCACGTCCTCCCACTCGGATTCCTTGCCGTTCATCGAGGTCAATCCGAAGATATAGCCTGGCGTGGAGCCGGCGTAAAGGCTATTGACACGCTCCTCAGCCGGCTCCGGCAGACCGACGTCGTCATACACACCCAGCTCGTCCCGCTCTTCCTCTCCCAGATGAGCCTCGTCCACGTTGGAATATTCATTGTCCGCAGTAAAATACCGATCGTCGCTCGGAGCGAGGCGCGACGCCTCCGCGTGACCCTTCGAAGTCGCTCGCAGCTTCACGAGCGGCTCCTTGCTCGACACCTTCTCGACAGTCTTGGGAATCGGGTAATCACACTCGATGACGGCGGAATCGTTTTGCTGGAAAGCGGGTGGCATTACATCGTCGTAGATCTCTTCGCAATCCTCGATGAGGACGGCGAGCTCCTTGTCCTCCTGATTTGTCGGCGGACCCACGTCATCATAGTTCAATTCCTGATAAGAGATTCATTAGTTCGTGCATACTCTTTTAATTTGTAAAAGCGAGTAATTTAAGTAACACCTGTGGACGAATTAGAAGCATAATGCCTTGAATCTCGATGGAAAGGTGTCAGGTATGTGTGTGAAAGCGAAATTTCAGACGGTACGAATCGAATTATGCGTTGTTCGTGATAGTCCATTTCCGCCTCAAAATTTTGCAAGTGTGCAACGCGAATCGATTATTCAGCATTCCATTTAAGCTTCGCTGACGACGATTGCCAATTGTACGTGTATTCGGCAATCGTGCGAAAGCTAAGCCCAATTATAGACGCTTACTCCAACCGCGACTGTGTAATATGAGCTATTATGAACTGCAATATAAGAATTTCACGATGTTGCTTCCTGGATGTCGCGCTTTGATGTTTTCACGCACGCGAATGCTTTAAGATTCCGTTCAACAAAACGAAAGAAATCTTTTCTCAACCATCTCCAGTGATTAATCGAATTTTCAGACTAAAATATATTGCAAAATATTTGGTAGACGAAACGCGCGTCACTCTCTGCGATTTGCATGGATTGGAGTGAAAATTCCAATTCGTCGAGGGTCATTATAACGGAATTTGTATGCATACGATAATTCGTACCGCTTGAGCGACGAAGTTTGACGGGCCGACATCGTCGTATTCTTCGCTGTCGGCGTCCTCGTCGTTTTCCTGCAAGCTAGCGCGAATGTCAGGCGTCTGCTCGCGCGAGTGCTTGTCACTTGGAAAAGTCTTGGCCCGGTGACTGCTCCACAGAAAGCTGCTGTTGGCTTGCGGCAGTGCTCGGGGGGAAGACTGGCAGACCTGCTCGTACGTCTCACCTTCCGGCGAATCGGCCTGATTCTCGATCGCGATTTTCACCACCTGGCTAGTCTCCAAAACTTTCGCCGCCTGGAACTGCTGGTCCCTCAGAGATTCGCTCTTTATCTCGGCATAGTGCGTGCAATTGTTGTTACCTGCAAAGGAAAATGCACCGTCCACATTAATACTTTGAATTGCTTGAATTATTACTTTCTCTAACACTTTTATAAAAACTATAAATTCGACTATTGATGAAACGTTGCATCGCTTTAGTTATCAAAAACTTTTGTGCTTATGGATTACTCACCTCGACTTTGTATAATTCTAAAACAATTGTGCAAATGAAGCCACGTTTGTGCAAGGCGCAATTTGCACAAACACCATGATCGTGCTCGGTGAAGAAATCTGGTGACGTTTCGAGAGAGCTTACCCGCGACGCTTTTGTCGATCGGTTCTCCCGCGGTTTGGCTGGAGTTCCTGTCCACGTCCACGGGGGACATTCCTGCGTCGACCTTGGATCGCTTGGCGTTCTCATTTCCAACCGACGCGCGTCGTTCGTCCTTTCCAACAAGTAAAGGCAACGTTGCGCATATTTGCTGATGAGTAATCACGACGACGGACTTGTCAGTGTTCTCGTTCGAGACCAGGCTGGGGTTCGTGGCGGATGCCACGTGAACAAAGTTGGTCGGCAGCGAGATCGTCACCTCCCTGGACAGACCCGTGGTGCTGCAGGAGTCCTGGACAGTCTTCGAGGGCGCCGCGTACAACGATCTCAGGGAACTCAGTGAACTGCTGAGTGCGTACTTCTTCTTCAACTTCTTCTTCTTCTTCGGCTGCTTCACCAAGTGTCGCGGAACATAGTGAAGGACGTTTTTGGTAAAGCGCTTCTGCTTCTTCTTTTTCTGTCGCGACGACGCATCGTTTTCGTCGCTCGTGACAGATTCCGTGTCCTGTTTTGAATATTTCACGTACACGCTTTCGTACGTAGGCTCTTCCGTCGCTAAGTCGTTTACAGACTTGGATTTCACAGTTATGTTCGATATAGCTGGAATAACTTCTTCGATCTTGTTGATACGTGTTAAGTATTCGGGAGTTATCCTTGAAACTTTGGCCACTTTGCAGTCTATTATATTCATCTTCTCGTAATCACTAGAAGAACTGGAGTCTTTTCTCTCAATAGAGCATTCCCCTTTCTCGCGTTGATCCTCAACAACGTCAACGTCATCGTGATAACTCTCCTCCATTTGTGGATGTGTCAAGTTACGACTGTCGTCGTTTGGAAAGTCTTGCATACGAGATTCTTTCTTGATGGATGAACTTGGAGCGATTTCTACGGAATTTTCTATGTACTTTGTTGTTTTTGCCTGCGCGCAGATTTCTTCTTGTCTAGCGTTCTCGATATCGCGCTCAGTTCCGGAATTTGGTATTGCGACGAAACGAGTTGACTGGTTCTCCGATTTCGCGGAGAAGATCAGATATTTGGAGTAACTTTTCCATTGGTGACTCGCTCCGGATTTCACCTGACAACGAAACGGGCGCAATTAAGCGGACGACTAATTGAATCGGTCGTTGCAAGTGTCACAAGAGAGATCTTTCCAGAGACGAGAAAGAATTCTTGCAATTGTCTATTATTACACTTCCCGTGTGGTAACATTTACGACTATATAGTTATATATTTCGCAATTGTGTTTCAAATACACAGCGAGCAATATTTTTTATAGAAAAATTAAGAATTTTTTCCTATCATTTCTTATTATTTCACAATTTAACGGGAATCAACGCTCGTATCAAGAGAAAAAGAAAAGACCGTGAGACGGCGTAGCTCGTTTTTCCCCGTCACTCACATTCCGTACCTTCGTCAAACGGATGGAATGTCGGCGATACAAGGAAATCGCAGTCGTCTCGCAGTAAAACTGGATATCGTGCAATAAAAATCGCTCGATATCACCTAGAAAGAGTTTTCGCCCGTTGAGTTTTCGAGGGGAGGGCTGAGCTTTTCTTTCGGATAACAGTGTCGCGACGAACGTACGCGGTAGGTACGAAGGTGCTCCGCTGGGTCAACGCAAATCTCATCCGACGCCGTGAGCGAACGTCACAAGAGCTAACAAGCCACTCCCCCGACTATTAGCATCCTTTTGCTCGTGTATCCACATGTGCGTATCCCGGAGTCGCGTCTCGCAAGAGAAAACATCAACACAAACTCACTTGCTCTCTTCTTAAACGCCAAGTCGCGTGAACTCCCTTGCTTTTAAATGCGCACATCCGGGTCGTACGTAAGAATAATAACCGATGGAGTCTCGGGTCCCCAGAAATTTGAAAGTCTTTCGCTGTAACGACTATTACGTCGTTTTAAAGATTGCAAAAAAGAGTAAACATTTTCACTCGGTATTTCTTATATTTTTCACAAAGACCTTTAAGAGAATTCGCAAAAAAACAGTAAACATTCTTACTTCGTATTTCTTATGTTCTCCAGGATCAGGAGAAATTCTTCAACCGAGAGAACTTTTGGTTCCTAATAAATCATTTTAATCAAAAACAGTCGCAAATCGAAATAAAATTAATTTACACATTTTGCAATCTTCAAATGTATTTTGATTCGTCGAACTTCCATTGCGAGTAAATCCGCGTTTGCGGTGGCGAGCGACAAAAATAAACGTATTATATACTTCTGTTATTGTATACATCGATATCAACATACCTTGGAAGTCGAGTGTTTGAGTGAAGTTTTCCCACCTGCGGACCTCTTCTCTTTGTCCGCTTTCTCGGTCTTTTCCACATAGTCGGTGGCTGCTGGAAGTAACTGTAGGGGCAATCTCGTTCGTTTCAGAGCCAAACTATCGAGAGTAGCGTAGACAACTTTGTCAGAGATTAGTGCAGCCTTGTGGCTATGCAGGAAACTCCGATTAGCTGTGGGCGAGGGATTCATCTCGTCTGTTTTCTATCGGCTCGTTCCAGTCCTTAACGCGCTTTTATCTTCAGCTGTCATATCAGTCATTGTTCCGACTAATGAGATCTAAAAAGACACAAATATTCCTGATTATATTTCTTTTTTCCAAATATATACTGTTTTTACATATAAATTTTTATATTATCTGATTCTTCTCTCTCTCTCTCTCTCTCTCTCTCTCTCTTTCTCTCTCTATGTATATATGTATAAATAATATTAGAGATTCTTATTTAATATTATCTTCAATATTTGATCCTTCGCGCAACAGTTAACTACACTTACTATTAAAATCGCAATTTAAGTTCTACTCTATTCTGTTCCCGACGAATATCGATACGTCTCGCATCAATGCGTACGCTTGTCTTCAGGTTGGGACACAATACATGATACCGAATGTATCAACACAGGAACAAGAATCATCGTTACCTATCGCAATCTGGCTCGAAGAGGATGTAAGGAACCGCACGTCCAAACGTTTTCCGCGAAAGCACCGATAAGCGGTTTTCATGGGTATTCTTATCACGAGTACCGCGTGTAATCGCAATGCTGCGATGCGCGAATCGCGACTATAACGGCTGTTTACTGTGCAATCGCATAATACCACGATAAGTAACTGTTGCGTAATTTATAATCATTAGCGGAAACGACCGAATTTTTCAAATATTTCAGGTATATATGACTTTATATAACTGTTTGAATAATTATTTGAATTTGATTGCGAGTGTATATGTGTGTGTATGTGTGTAAGACTTAAGATCCGGAATTATGAGTCAAACGGACGGGCAATCGACAACTTCGATAAACGTATCACAGTTTCCGGTTACGTTTTACATTATCATAGGAAATAAAAAATGTTAGTTATTATAGTTTTTTTCTATTATCATTTGTTTATGTTTTCAAGCTGCTAATCTGAAGAATCACTCGGGTCTAATAAAGTTTTAACTCAGTTTATATCCAGTTTACCTTTACATTTATATCCGATCAACGTCGATTAAGTAGCAATTTGAGTTCAAACTATCTTCAGATAAAGAAGCTTTAAACTTAGATTAAGGTTTAATCGACTTATATTAATGTTTAATCGACGTTTAAAATGATTAATGGAATTGGGCTTTATTCGGTTATTAAAGTAGATTTTTATACTAGACATTGAAAGTGTCTACCTTTTACACATTTTATCTATCCGAATGTCTCAATTAATCCACTTGAGCTCGCTTTAAAGTCACGTAACATTAAAACTGCGATTGCGAGAAGAAGTTCGTCGACGTTCCGTCACTAAACATGTGTCATGCGATAGGTCACTACCATGCCGTTTCTCAACCACTCGTCGGTCACGTCACGTCGCGTAAAACTCGTCGTTTTGCGAAAAAGCTATAATCACAACGAGCACTGATTCGGTCCGCGCGCACGCACACACACACACGCCTAAACATTTGCCGATCTTCGTGAATATCTCATCATCTACTGTGCCGAGATGCACAACCGTTACAAGCGTGTATTCGTATTTCGCACATTTGCGAGCGCACGCTCGTACAAAAGTTTGTGCATCGCACGTGCGTCCCCGCGACTCTACTCAGGACGAGTGCGACGCGACATACACACGATCACGCGGCACGATACACACTGATCACGCGACGCGACGCGACGCGCACTGATCGCGTGGATCCAACCGCGCCGCCGCGATGATCGATAGTCGATGATCGAGCAGCGCGAGCGAACGACAATCACGTGGCTGTGCACGTAGCCCGCGTACCTGACTTGTGAGTCGTCGGCAAAATTCGTTGATCCTCGGCGAGATTCGACTTGCCAGTGCCGTAGCGCGCGGATCCTCGATACAATGTTCCTTAATTCATAAACTGGTACCAGCTTCCTTGAATCATGACGATTTCATGTCCTCTGCTTGTAAATAAACTCATTGTGTGTATTCTGCAATAATATTTAAGATGGTCTTACTTTAAAGTTGTAAGGATCAAAAGAAGATATCGTAATGATAAAATGTTACGATGAATCTTATGAATCAAGTACGTAATATATTTTATATAAATCGATTGAAAGAGTGTGCTTAATCTCTTGTATAAGATTGTCAGAAAACAATATCGCGGGCTGAAAGTAAGTTCGCTTTCTTTACTGTGTCATCATCGTCGAATTGAGGAGAATTGAATGGCGAAATCACTCGATCGCAACGATCGACGTGATTTGCGTTTATATGAAATGCCGAGTGACTTTTTCTCAATACTTCCTGTTTGTGTACACACAATCGCAATCGTCCGAATGTGTTTCCCATAAAATATTTACACATCAGTATGCGAAAGTGTTTGTGAAAGTACGCGCGGTTGTTTGTTATTGGTCATTAGTAATTTTTTACGCATAGATATGATAGTCTCCACTCAACTCCACGTGTGCACATGTGTATCTATATGTCCAAGCTCTATCGATATTAGATAAAGCGACAAAGGAAACAATCGCTTTTGAGATAAATCGATAAGATAAATCGAACGTTTCATCGGACTACTTTGGAATAGTACTTCAAAATTTTTTTGCCTTTGTTGTGTCAAAATTATGTTAACGTAGCTCACACGCCACAGAACATTCAGATTGCCAGCGAAAGTAATTCGCGCATTTAAAAACAAATACAAGAAGAAGCACATCTGAGATTTTTCTCTAACCGCAGGATTATACAAAAGCGTATACATATATACTTTTTTCGGATATATTTTTACCTGCAATCATATACTTTCTATATTAAATGTTTGCAACATAGCGTTTTGTAATATGGAGCATTGGTCCACGGCGGAGGATGCGAGGCGAAAGAATTGCATCCAGCTGTAACACCGTGCCCGACCCCTTCAAAACGATCCAGCAGTGATTCCGCATTCTTTCGTGAGTTTCTCCGTTTCGTTCTCGTGCTCGTTTTTATAATCAAATACTCTTGTCTCTCATGTATACGTAATACGACAATTCCTTTGTGCATTATGCGCCTGCCGCGTTTTCGCAATATTTAAATTAAACCTCGCCAATTACAAAATCGACAGCAGGTGGAAATTAATAATCGTGTTGAGTGAAAAATACTTAATTACAGATACATAAGCTCGTGCAAGAATTACGTGATCATTTTCGCGTTTACTTTTGACGAGTTTAATGTAAGAAGATTATTTTACCTCTCACATGTAGAAACTCGCAATAATCTAGTAAATCAAGTCGACTGCGCTTCGTGCAATGTCGTCAGGACATGCACACATTCACAAAAGCAAAGTGGTGGTTATATCGTGCGTCAGAGATACGTCAGAATCTCTACATTCCTGCGCAGGTGAGTCTGGGATGCTGATGTGGCACGTTGACCTCATTCGATCTTCCCTGAATATCGTATTCAAGGACCGGTGAAATTATTTCGGAGAAGACTTCTGCTGCAAAGTAGAGCGAGATATTAACATATAATAAATTTGATCGACTCATTCGTTGCAGAGGGAAAACAAAAAGAAGGCAAAGGCCATGAGTAACGACGTGTGCCACTTATTCGACCATTGTTGTTATGTGCGAGCTATGCAACTTTGTTGATAATACAGCGAAGCATATTTGTTTCAATAAAACCAAGAAAAATAAAAATATTTGTAAATCGATAAGTTATGAGTTTGTTTGGTTTGTATCTAAGATAGTATCTGTTGTATAGCGCAGCTAAGATAATACAATCTACAAAAAATATTTCAATATTCTCCTTTTTATGATATCGTATTATCGAAAATATTTTTTCTAATTTTAAGTGTTCTTCGAATACGCAATTATTATTTCGCTCGCGTAGAATGTAATCCTTTCGATTACAGTTATCTCGCTCGCCTCTCGTTATCATGTAACAGCTAATTTGGCAGCGCACTGAGCAGTGAATCAATTATAATTACGTTGTGCGTCCGTCCTTACTTTAATCACACGATCAAATTATGATACGTCGAACAAGAGTTCAATGTTTCGGTAGCTACGCGCGATTATAACGCGTGTGATTTCCAACTTACAGATGCAAGAAGACATATCTTTCGTTTTCTTCAGTGCCTATACTGCATTCAATATTTTTGCGATAAAGTCTACGACGACTCGAAATTTGCAATTTATATATGTTGTATTCATCTATTCGTTCACTTCTTTCTTTTTTTTTCAAGATGGTTAATTCGGTTAATTTTGTATGTACTTTACGTGCATCACCTCTTGCAATCATGCGTGTCGTGATAACCTTATTTTTCGAGAGACCATTAGAATGAGATTGCAATCTCTTGCTCCCCACCGTTGGTACACTGTAAGCTCATTCACGCTGGGGAAACGCGAAATACCAGCTATGTTGTTAGTAGTCAACTCGCAGAAGACGGGCGCACTTGGATGTGAGGCGATATCATTCCACTGGAGATACATCTTATCTTATCCAGGTGTGTTTCCTACGAAATAGTAAAAAAAAGATTAGAGTAACGAGAGAGAAGAAATGAGAAGTCGACAGTAATTTATTTTATAAAAATAAGTTTATTTAATGAAATTATTTAATTTTATTAAATAAAATGAAAAGTAATTCGGTGTGTGTGTGTGTGTATATATATATATATATATACAGGGTGTCTTACACTCTCCTCCGGGCATTTTGTGGGGACATAGAATGAGTTGATGTGAACATAAAAGTCCTATACCGTTTTGCGATATTCGCAATAATTATCGAGATATTAATTGTAGAAAATTTGTAAATGATCATGCAGAATAAAGAATTATAATAGCGACGACTGCCGTCGTGTACTTGTACTTTAGGTCAAATTGAACAAAAAAGTCCTCTACCATTTTCCAAATAATCACATAAATTTTTAATTATTAACTAAAGAAGATTATTGCACGATTTTGCGTGATAATGCACTCATCTTCTTTAATTAATAATTAAAAATCTATGTGATTATTTGCAAAATGATAAAGGACTTTTTTGTTCAATTTGACCTAAAGTATAAGTACACGACGGCAGTCGTAGCTATTATAACTCATTTACCATATCCTGCATAATCATTCACAAATTTTCTACAATATCTCGATAATTATTGCGAATATCACAAAACGATATAAGACTTTTATGTTCACATCAACTCATTCTACGTCCCCACAAAATGCCCAGAGGAGAGTGTGAGACACCCTGTATGTATGTATGTATGTATGTATGTATGTATGTATGTATGTATGTATGTATATATGTACGTACACACACATACACACGCGCGCGCGCGCAGAAAGAGAAAGAGAGAGAGATAAAAGAAGAGATAAAGACATAACAATCTTTACATCAGTAATTTGTTTCAAAAATTACAGAATGCTTGCAAGATGACTTCCTATTTCTTTTTTTATAATTTATCCATCCCTCGCACACGACATTCTTTCCTTTTTAATTAACAGATAAAGTAATTAATGCGCATAATTAATCAGAGTGTGGGCATATAAAATTCACCAAGTTACAGAAAGGCATTGCAGACTTATTGCGTTTGAGCATTATTGACTATAACGGTGTTTCCTACGGTCTTAGAACCGGTATATTGCTCTGCGAATTGTACCGGGTGTTGCAGATCTACTGAGTCAAGCTTCTATTCTCTGATTCTTTCGCTAATTTCGAGTCTATCGTAATGTAACAAAAATCGACGATTCACGGATGACGAGCTATCTTGAATTTGTTAGAAAAAATCGATTCACAAAGTTAGATTTCAAAAATTCATAAGCAAAATATGCATCGACGTGCTAGTACTCCAACTACCGAATATATATATATATAATATATATATATATATATATATATATATATATAATATATATATGTATAACGTTATTTATGAGGTCACATGTCAGATAAAGTTTACGAATACAAGATCATATATTCCGATCAAGTTTGCGTTTCATAATAATTTTTTACAACTCGTCACACATATACACACACAGTCTCATGAAGTAAATGTGAAATTATTAGTATTTTATTTAATATTCCAATTACTGTCAAAATTATGTTGATTTAAAATTAATCTCACTATATAATTATCAATATTAAAAAAATGAAGTTATATAACTTTTTTTTAGAAAATGATGTCATAAATATATCGATATTCTTCCACAAAAACAGAATAATCTACAGATCGCAATCTGCAGATTGTAGTTAAGAATTTATCTTAAAATATATTATATAACTGTCATACAAATGTAATCACACGGTGAAACTTCGTATATTTTTTTCCGTATAGGCGTATTCGTCAAAATCATTATCCGGTGATTTTTTTGTTGTATTTTTGTGAATTACAGATGAGAATTGCATGTCACGTTCAATTGATTAGTTTTGCAAATGCAATTTTTAGCTTGTCATCGCGTCAATATCATCGTTCTTTGCATCATTGATTTATCGCAGAATTCTTGTAAAACCGTACGATCGCAAAAAGTTCACGTAGTGTGACCCTCACCGTCAACGATAAAGAAGTGGGGATTAGTATTCTTAACTTGTGGATACAGTGAGCCAGTGATCATAAAGCGCTTGGCAGTGACTGCAGTTTGCGACGAATAGCTAACAAGGATGTCTCTCGACCAGGTAATCTTAAATTTTATCTCTTGATTCAGCGTATATTAAAAAACGAGTTATCTCTTTCTCTCTCAATATTTGCGGGAATTATATCACGCGTCGAGCGCGTCCAGAGACGAGACGGCCGAATCGATCGTGGTGGAAATGATCGGCAAAAATCGAACGTGGCATACAAATTTCGTTTTGCTCTCGACTTCGCGATCGCACGATATTATCGTATGCATTTCTCCGAGGAGAAATTCGGGGCAACTGGTTGATCAGCGCTTTTAATCGGGATGCACGTATCCGAGGAAAGTTCCGGGGCTTGACTCGACGACAAGATATTTCGATGCAAAAATTTCAAAATTGAGAATAAACGATTATGATCCTGTTCACGTTGTTATAATCAATCTTCACGATTTTGATTTTCATATGACGTAACTCCAAAACCGTGACTTTGTACTTTTGCCGCCATTTTCGTTCGTAAAATTTTAATGAGCAAGAGCCGTCGACTAAGACTCAGTTCCACAACCTCTAGTTAACTTCACTAACCGGTTATTCCATTGGACTTAGCATTGGATAATCGCATTTAGCGTTAAGAAGAGTTAATCAGAATTAATCAATTATTGTTGAGACTTAACCGATAGTTAAAGTTAAACGGAGGTTGTGGAACTGGGCCTAAGACCTGATTCCACCAACATCGACTTGGCCTTGATCTGAGTTTAAATTTTTGTTGCAAATAGTTTAAACGCGGCTTAAGGCTTGATCGACATTGGTGGAATCAGGTCTAAAGGTAGATTTTTATAAACATCAATTAGCAACTATATGAAGTGCTGAAAATACAAATTGACCAAATTCACGTGTGTCTGAATTCTAAGGATAAAGAAGTAGATTTGCATTGTAAAGTTAATTTCCGTTCCGCTTTGCTGAAAATTTATCACAACTAGACGCGATTTTATTTGCATTTTCAATGCTTCATCAGTGTGCAGATTAAAATTTTTCAATTAACATTTGCGGATCAGAAATAACAAAATTGAACATTTGTTATAGAAATTTAATGAAGCTGCTGAAGCTGTGAAGGCACTCACTAAGCTTCCCAATGATGAAGAGCTTTTAGAGCTTTACGGTCTGTTCAAGCAAGCTACAGTTGGCGATAATAACATGTGTAAGTTATTACCTTTACCTCAAATTTAATTACGTGATATGCTATTCTAATTGTTTCGATGACAAAAATTCTGCAATTATTCATTACATGTGAAATTTAAAAAAAATATAAAAATAAAATTAAAAATTTTGAGGTAATTATGATTGTGATTTTTTGCTTACGTACACAAGTTCAAATTTATACTTCCTTCTACATTTTCATATTAACATATATGCAAGTCTTATTTATATTATGCTGCAAATTAATCACATCACGCCATGTTACGATGTTGCAGCCAAGCCCGGCATGTTCGACCTAAAAGGAAAAGCAAAGTGGGAAGCCTGGAATAAAAAGAAGGGAACTACGAAGGAAGCGGCACAACAAGCCTACATTGAGTTGGTTGACAAAATGATAGAAAAATACAAATAATTTCATTCGCTACCATATACGACTATTGTAATCTCCTAAGTCTAACCTAACAATTGTTCGTATTTATAATTCTTACGTTTTTCACATACACCATATCACATACGTATGTGCACACACACCACACACACACTTATGAAAATGACATTCCGATATAATATACGATATCTACATTTCCTATACTTCTATGTGAGGATTATTTTAATATGTTAATGATAATCTATCGAAAATCTGGTTACCTTCGTTTGCTTCCAAAATCCTTCACCTTTCATAGAGTGAGATAAGATATCAAAACGTAATGCCGGATTTCTTCCATTCTCTTCGAATGCAAAAGAGTATGTTCGAGGAGCACATTGTCAACATTAACGTGTAATTCTAACTTTATTGCTTTTTAACTTCCCGTTTTTGGTTGTGACGAAGTTGTGTCGTCATAACGTGCAAATGAAAGATTGTTTGGATTTGAATTCGCATCGATGATGACGTCACACGATCAGAGGTCGCTACCGTCGGCAGCGATATATTTCGATCTCGATATATCGATTATGACAAGTAATCGATTGAAAGCGATGTTTGATAGTTCCGAACGTCAAATATTACACGGAACTATGGGAGACCCTAGTCCTCGGCCAATAATAACAATAAGAAGTAGAGGTCAATTGTTATTGGTGGATTTGAAATTTCAGTTGGCCATGACGCGGTCAACGTGCACAAGTTTCTGTACGAGTCGTCTGAATCAAAAGTAAACTTGACAGAGTAGAGTGAGCTTGTGTTAATTATTTGTTGATATATTCGAGCGAAAGTGAACATGAGTGATAGTTTTGTACAATGGCGGGACTCGCTACGACTCGACAGCGAATCCTTTGTTATCTCGGACAGCGAGGACGACGACATCGTCCAGAGTTCCCTCAAACAACGTTTCTTGATCGACGAGAGCCACGAGGATGATGTCGATGAGTCGTATAATACAACGCCAACAAAGTAAGTATCGTTATAAGGATGCTTCGTTGAGGTCAGATTCTGTTACGGTGAATATGCGAAAATAGCCTCTATGTTTATGATAATGGAGAGTTCATGACAATGGATGGCGAACAGTGAGATATATACTTTTCTGCGTGTATATATATACATATATATATATGGTACGAAAAAACGAACTCTACGATCTTCGCTTTTCGTCTTTAACTTTGCTATATTCGACAGAGAAGAGGGATTATTAATATGCTCAAACGTCTCGAGTGTTTTACTAATTGTTCTCAAGTTGGTATCACTAATATTTTTATAGTAGACACGTTTTGAATATGTTATGTTTGGTATGTTATTTTTTTGTTTATTGCCCAATAAAACAATTAAATACAATTCTGTTCTGCTAGATATTACTGATAGCACTATCAATATGGTTTAATGACAGTGAATTTATTATCATTGCTACTTCAAGATTGTTTTACTGCTGTCGATATAATTATTAGATTAAAAATAACATTAAGATAATTCATGTAATAATAATAATGTATAATCACATATTGTTTATATAGAAGTCAATCCTCGGAAGATACACCAGTTGGTTTCAGGAAAAACATCAAAAAGCTTCTTGGAAAGAAAAAGATTGTAATTTCAGATGACAGCACAAGTGATGAAACTGAAAGTAATGAGGATTATAAGACATCTCATGATGACAGTGATATTTCAGATGAAGATTATATTGGAGATAAAGATTACGGTACTATATATATATGTATCAATATTATTTTATGTTTTAGATATTCATTACTGAAATAGTGTAATGTAATTAAAAGTTTTTATTTGAATGTATTATCTTATAGACTCATCAGTTTCATATTCACCACATCAAAGCAAAGGTAAAAAGCGGAAAGATGTTACTCATGACAATACCAGAGAAGACATAAAAGAATTAAAGCCCAACAGTTCCAACGAATCTTTTGGAAAAATTATGTCCTTACATGACCATGATACATACACAAAAAATACAACTAAACTTGAGACATTGGATCTGACAGATAAAGTATCTAATAATCTACCTACTTTTAATCTTGATTCAGGTAATCTTATTTATCACATTTATTTATTAGTCAATTGATAAATCGATCTTTCTTGATTAGAAGCATTTTTACTATCTATAGTATGAACTTACAGATTCTTGTTCCGGAGAAAGTGGATCTGAATTAGCAATATCTTTGGCAAAGAAAGAGATCGGTGTTGGAAATGTTAATCCGATAGTAGCACAAAAAAGGGCAATGCTTACTTGCAAATTGCACTTATTGCAAGATAAATTGGCAGCGGCAAAAGTATGATAATATATAATTTTATTATTAATATAATCTTGTGTAACATATCAAAGAAAAAATATATAATTTAATTCTCGATGAAATAATAAGAAAATAAATACATAATATTTTAAGTAGTATATCAAATAGAAACGTTTTCTTTTAGCTGATACTCAATGATGGTAAGATTGAGGTATTAGAAGATAAAGGGGAAAAGTTGCGCGAGAGTGTACAGAAATACGAACAGGAAATCAAGCTATTAAAACTCAAATTGGAAAACACACCTCTAGTGCAAAATTTTGATACTAAGAAAACTGTTGCAAAGAATGAGCCATATTACTCAGAAGAGAAATCAATGTTTGTTAAAGATGAGTCAAGTTCTGATCAAACAGATTATTCGTATTTCGATATTGATAATATACCGATGAAGCCTACTACATCTCCAGAAGTAAAAGAACTGGGTAAGAAGGCCCAAGAGACGAGGGATAAAGAGCTCGCTTTAACAGTTGAACGATTAAAAGATTTACATGGATCTCTTGTGGCTCGACCATCGGAGGATGAGGTAGCCGATGATCCAAAGGGACTGAAAGTACCATTAATGTCACATCAAAAGCATGCTCTCGCATGGCTACTGTGGAGGGAACAGCAAAGACCGTCTGGCGGTGTTTTAGGTGAATATTTTAGAACAGTTTTATGTAGTTTTATATTGTCATTTTTCTAATTTGAATTTTTTCTTTCCACAGCTGATGACATGGGCTTGGGCAAAACATTAACAATGATATCTTTGATCATGGCTACTCTTGGTAATGAGGATTCTATGGTTGGTAACGATGAAAGCGATGACAGTGATGACGGGTGGAACAAAAAGAAGCCTTTACGTACGTAAAAGCTCATTTTATAAAATTTATTTTATTGTTGAGAATCTCTTTGCATCTCCTAACTTTGAATGTAAATTTAAATGAACATAAATGCACTATATAATATGAATAATCTTTTAAAGCAATTGTATCTGATTTCGATTCACAGGTCACGCGGGTGGCACCCTCGTAGTATGCCCAGCGTCTTTACTGTCGCAATGGGAAAAAGAAGTGCTGGACAAATGCAAACAAGGTTCATTGTCTGTCCAAATTTATCACGGTAGCAATCGAGAGAATGTACCTACCCGCTTGGCGAAGAACGATATCGTTATCACGACGTACAACATAGTGGCTCGAGAATATAAAAGCGGCTCAACTTTATTTAAGGTATTCGATAACGTAAAAATGTCATTTAACTTACTGACAATTATTGAAAAATATCGGATTTAATCGTGAGTTAAATTTTGTTTGCAGATTCACTGGAAAAGAGCAATACTTGATGAAGCTCACATAGTGAGAAATCATAAAAATCAAGCAGCCATAGGAGTTTGCGGGCTTACAGCGGATAAACGGTGGGCACTTACTGGCACACCCATACAAAATAAGGAAATGGACTTGTATTCTATTTTGAAATTTCTAAAGTGTACGCCTTTCGATGATATACGCGTGTGGAAGCGATGGGTGGATAACAAGAACGCTGCCGGCCATGAAAGATTGGCGACCGTCATGAAAACGATAATGTTGCGGCGGACCAAGCAAGAACTGCAGTCGCAAGGTCGTTTAGAAAGTTTACCCGAAAAGTATATGGAGGAAATGATGGTAAAACTTGACTCGCAGGAGCAACTGGTATACGAAAAAATTTTAGTTTACTCTCGTACTCTCTTTGCACAATTCTTGGCTCAACGTGCAGATAAAGAGCACATGTTCGATCTACACAGTGGAAAATATAACAAGCCAACTTTCTTTTTAAATCCGAGTAAGTCGAATACTCAATTTATGGTAAGATTCTATATAACGTTTAAATTTCAATATGATTTTGTACACTTTATATATTTAATGACTAAAATGTTAAAACATTTATTTTAATATATATATTCTCGTTAATCGTTTATTTTCTTACAGATAAGGAGACGCAATTTACAAAAGCTCAAAAGAAACTGTTGGCAATGCACGCTGATGTAAAAACGCACGAAATTTTGGTGCTACTTCTAAGATTACGTCAGGTGTGCTGTCACCCAGCACTGGTTCACGCAATGCTCGATCAGGAGGAAATGCAAGTGAGCGGGATTATGGACGCGGAAGATATGAATCCTAAGTTTTTATCGCGGTTAAGTAACATATCATTACATGGAATCGATAGCAATGAGAATTCTGAAGAGGAAAACGAAGATATCGGCATTGATCGTAGAATATTACAGAATGTACTTACTTCGGAGAATCCAGTATTCGACGACAATCGCGTTAGTTCTAAAGTGAGTAGTAATCGCGTTAATTTGAAAAATGTTTGACAATCGATCTTAGTATCACATACAATTATTGCAATATACAATTTTTAGATGAAAGCTCTACTTGACATGGTAGAGAAAATTTTACAAACGACGAACGACAAAGTTATTATTGTCTCACAATGGGCTACTCTCCTTGATATTATAGCATCGCATTTGGAATTTATAGAAAACGCTACATTTGCCAAGTTCACGGGAAAGGTCGCCATTAAAGATCGACCGGTAAATCCCAAACGATAATACCATTACTAACGGATAATTTCTCTTTACCTTATTGAACAAGAAAATGGATATTAACATGTCTTTCAGACTATAGTGGATTCCTTCAATAAACCGAATTCTGACCCAAGGATTTTACTGCTGTCACTTACCGCTGGAGGTGTAGGATTGAACTTGGTGGGTGGGAATCACTTGTTATTGTTCGACATTCATTGGAATCCGCAGTTAGAAACGCAGGCGCAAGATCGAATTTACCGTTTTGGTCAAAAGAAAGATGTATACGTGTACAAGTGAGTGCATTACAAACAGCTTTAGCGCGCTGTAGTAAGTTCGTGTTAACGTTGAGCTTTTTTCTTTTCAGATTTATTTGCAGTAATACAATAGAAGAGCGGATAAAAGTATTGCAAGAGCGTAAACTTGCTATCGCGCATAATGTACTGAGCGGCGAGAGAAACAAAGAGATCGCAAAGCTCACGCTCAATGATCTCAAGTCGCTATTTGGCCTTTAATGTGTATCTTACGACGAACAGAGCATAATATAAAAATCTATTCTTTTTTAATATATGACATATATAGATAGATACATTTTTATTAAATTCCGTATATATTCCAACATATAAAATATTATTCATTTTATTTAAACGTACAAAACATTTTTACTATATAATTAGTTTATATCGCACGATGTATATTTATTTATTTTACTATATAACAGAGATATATTTTTGTAATTTTAATTCCATATGAGTAATTGCATTCTTTTCTTTTTAAAATACGAATAGATTTATCTGACTTTGATGATTAATGCAAGCTAGTACGTAGGTTTTATCTTTAATATGTAAGATTGTTAAAGTTCCACGTATATTGTAGCGCATATTATAGTTAATGTTGGATTAAATATAAAACGGAATAAATTTAAATAATACTTGGTTTACACAGTATCGTAGATGACCTAATACTTATTTAAACATTATATAATTTTATTTCTTAAACTTATACTAGTCAATATTACATTCTAATTAATAAATTAAGTTTATAACGAAATATATGTTGACAATTATGTGTGTGTGAATGACTTGACTTTGATGTATCATGTAACTTGTGGAGGATCACTGCCTTTCTACTCGCTGTTAATGTTATTGGTTGTCGGTAGTCTTCTTTGTTGTGTGTTACTGTGCCATACGCCGTAAAAGAAATACATGCACAGACCTGCGATAATGCGTAAATAAAGTTGACGTATTTGTTTACAGGTGTACACGCTCATACCTCTTTCATAATATACATACCAATTGCCGTCCACACAGCGAATCGTATCCACGTCGATACGTCCAGCATCATCATTAAATAAATGTTGACAAGGATGCTGATTGCCGGCAAGAATGGCACCAAGGGAACCTAATGATATGCGATATAAGAATCAGTGCAATATTAACGAAATGTGTTTCGTACTATCTCAGAATTATATCTTTAAGAGTACATCTTACCGAGAACGAGAGCTGCTTGCCGGAAACTGGCTGCAGGTATATGAAGCAGAGTGTAATTAGAAGTACAATGGCTAGAATGACGAGTGGCACAATGAACGTCGCTTTACCGGCGCTGATCTCTTGGCTGTAGAACGAGATGAGAATGGAAATGCAGACACAAAGGATGACTGTAAAAAGGAATGGTAACAACGTGTATCGGACGCCTTGAGCAGTAAAGCAGTGATAGATACGACGAGGAATTCTTACCGTAGCAAAATACAAGAGCAGTAACGATTTGTGAAGTGAGTTTTGTGGAATAATTCAATTTATTCGCATTCACCAGTTGCTTCGCGATGAACGTAAAAGTCCTTGGATCATGGTCACCTTTTTTTTCATACGCTTCGCTCTCTTCGTATCTGCAAGGAATATATTCCTTATTATTTTCCTTAACTAATGATCTGAAAGCTGTCTGATTATTAACCACTAATTTCATCGACGTCGTATAACTTTAATTTTTTTTCGTTGCTTTAAAAACAAATCAATCTGTGTACTATATGTAACTGAGGAAACTTTGCGAAATCGGCCACTCACATCATATACATGGATTGTTTTAATTAATAAATTAACTTTTAAATTTCTCACCTTAGAATGAGTACGCAAGCCGCTACGATCGAGTACGCGAGCAGCGTGCCGATACTCATCATTTCAATCAATTGCTGAAGATCGAATATCGCCGCTAAGATACCTGCGACATTCCACTTGAATGTTTACGTGGCTAATTAATATAATGAGAACAAGGCGAGGAGTCGCAACGTAATATACCTGTGAGCAATCCAGCGATCAACGTGCCCATCAGCGGTGTCTGGAATCGCGAGCTCACTTTTCCCATCCATGTGAATATCAGACCGTCCGAAGCCATAGCGTAGATCACCCGTGGCAGCGGGAACATTGCGCCTAACAAACTGAAACAATTGCTCGATGAAGTCAAAGTGTTGTCGTTGTGTGTCGCCTATATTAAAAAGAATCTTACACAAGAGGCGTAAATTGACACAAGAGTTCTAATATGCGAATGTTGGTCTATATATTTACAAAGTAAATAAATTCTACGGTCACTATGTAATTTGATAAATTCATTTTTTTTTTTTAGATTAATACTACGCAGTGGATGTTACCTGGAGCAAAGCCCGCAAATTGCGCCGATCGAGACGACCCACTTCGCCCATTCCCAATTTACCATTACGAACAAATGTGGAAACGGCGCGTCGGCATCTTGCTCGTAATAAGGCAGTACGGTCGTGAGTATAGCCGAAACGCTGAAGTATGCTAAGAAGACAACCGTCAAAGATGCGACGATGGCGACCGGGATGGATCTCTGTGGGTTCTTGGCTTCTTCTCCCGTGGTGGCCACACAGTCGAAACCAATGAATCCGTAGAAGCACTTTGCTGCACCGGCTATAATACCTTCGATACCGTAAGGAGCGAATCCGCCGGTTCCATATTCGCAATCCTCTTTTGTGCACTCACGTTGCGTTTCCCAGTTCTTAATGTCAGCTGCATGTCGTTACAATCGTTAGAAATCGTTACATATGATATTTTTAAGTTAAAATCGAGGTCGGTAGAGATAACTAATTAGTTACGTATATAATTCTTGGAACGTTTTTCGAACTTCCTCAGTCGTGCGAGAATTTGATCGCCAAAAGAGTTTTAATTTTGGCTAAGAGGTCGATAAATATTGGTAGAAAAAGGTTTGAATCTCGGTTAAATGACAACTTTTAATTCTAAAATCTCTGCTGCGAGCCGCTACCGTACCTACTGAGATTTTAAGATCATGATACAATTCGACACAAGTCAGATATACTTTATATTCGTACTTTAAATTCAACGAACTGCAACTTTCGAGAAAATAATAACAGTGAGATGGTTCGAGAAGCATTTTAAAGGTTGAAGTCTTTACTTTTTAGCCATATTAAATTTTTTTGCGCATAATTTTTTATTTATAAAATGCAATTCGACAAAATTCATAAAAAATGACATTTTACGAATATACATTTATACTCTTGTAGTGTCAATAACAATCAAATACACTTGATATCCGGAAATGTCTGGAAACTAGAGGTTTTAAGCTATAAATTGCTTCTTAAATCATCTCATTTTCATTATCTTTTTCAAAGTTATAATTTGTTGAATTTTAGTCATATTTTATGATCGTTTTTATTTATTATTCTAATATTCTGAAAAGAAAGTTTACAAGAAGGAAGCAAATAGAAGAATATACCTTTGAAGGATCCAGCAATAACGACGAAGAGCACGACGCCAAGGTTTACTAGCGTGAAGATGTTGTTCGCTAACGTGGATTCCTTGGCTCCAAAGGCAAGCGCGGCTGAGAAGAAGATCATAAATTGCTTTAGCTACTTTTTTTCCTTCTGTTACACAATCGTGTAACGAATCAAGAAGTTACCAGTAATGACGCCTCAGTATGTAATAATACAGACATGGTCGTCTCGCTTGATTGAAAAAACTGCCTAATTACCTGCAAACACCAGGGTGATGGCGAAAGCGAAGAAATCCGGGTACGGTGACATGAACTCGATATCGATCGGCGCCGCCGATGTGAAGGCATTTTTCATGGTGTAATTGAAGAGCGCGTCGACGTACGTGCTGAGACCACGCACAACGCTGGCTGTACCGATTACGTATTCCAGAATCAGGGTCCAGCCGATGATAAACGCCACGAATTCGCCCATAGTGACGTAACTGTACACGTACGCGGATCCAGCGCGTGGCACTCGTGCGCCGAATTCGGCGTAACAGAAGCCTGTAAAGACAATAACTTCATATCTGAGAGAACAGTATGATTAGGAAATGCTAAAAATCAATTAATACGAGTAATTAATTCGTTTCTTCCTCAAGAAACTGCGGAACCGGACATTAATAACATAACTGGCTTGAAAGATTTATCTCGTAACGCTCGTCGAGCGTTTCGCTGTTGTTTTCTGCATAGCTTGCATTACTCACCATGCTGAAATCGAAACTCACTTGAGAAGCAGCTAAAACGTAAAACAGACGAGATAAGTCTTTGCGTTCATTTTTTATTCAGCGTTTATTCTCGTATGATCCGCACTATATCACTCATATCGCATCGGTACTTGCGCGTCTTTTCCTTATATATATATTCTGAATTCTCAAAAACCTTTAACTTATATTTTTAGCCTTGAGTAATTTCTCCGAAATGAATGTTTCACGGTCAAGATGATGAAAGAACGAAGGAGCTAGAACCACAGCGATTACCTAGGAAATTAGACTATTAAGAATGCAGGATACCAGGAAATCATGAAACAGAAGCGAGGATATGTTAGAAATTAGATAATAGTATTGAAATGACACAGACGTCGGCTTGGGACGCTAGTTCGGCTTGTTACGATTTTGGTAACAATATATATTGGTCCGAAATACTGTCGTAATTGAATATTTCATAATGGGTAGAAAAGGAAAACAATCGATAATGAATAGAATCTTATCTCCTATCGATGCATCTAGTACATACCTGCGAACATCGATGCCACCGCGGCAATAGCGAATGAAATCACTACCGCCGGGCCAGCGACGGTCTTTGCAACAGATCCAGCTAGAACATAGACACCAACTCCCAGAGTGGAGCCGATTCCCAAGGCCGTGAGGTCGAGAGTCGACAAACGTCGCGCCAGCTTCGTGTCCACGTTGAGGTCCACCACTTTCTTGCGACTGAACGCTTTGTACACGCTGCTGAATTTCCACTTCATGTTGTATACCTGAAATGAGGAAATGCCACGAACGCATCGAATAAAAGTATACGTAAAACTGAAAACATACGAAAGAGACGATCACCGGAGAGAGTTTTGGGATTTCGCGATTTTTCGAATGGAAACTCGAAGATTCAATTGAATTCGATGTTGCTGCACAGTAGCTGATAATTCTTCTTTTTACTAATCGCCTTATAATAAGGAAACGTGCAGATTCCGCGATGCGGAAACGCATTTCTTCATTTAATATCTCGCGATTTTTTATTTACATGCAAAAGCAAGGACAAGTTTGGAAAATCGTCATCTCACCTCAACGATCTGCGTTACAACAGAATCCATTTTTCTTTCCTTTTTTGGGTGAGGCACAAAAACTTTCAACTGGAGTATTTTATAAACTGGCCGTCGAACAGTTGGCGCGCGACTAAGAGGATTTAATTGAAATGCCTTTATATAAATCAAGAGCGCAGCATGCCATGCGTTTCTTCGGCACACTCAATTGGTCAAGTTATCGCGCCGCTAGAACGATCCTACAGTGGACCTGCGTCGATATTTATTGCGACTAAATTTCATCGACACTTTGACGCGTCTCTATCTATTTTATCGTGTCGCTTAAATGTTTCCCAGAATTCGATTAAGCTCTCCTCGGTCCGCAATCACGATCGTTCACGTCGCTAATTTAATTCGCTTACCTTGAGTGAGCGCGTGTATTCGGCGTCACGATCCGTCAGACACGCTGAAACGCTGCGAAGATTTTTAATCGGGCAGAAAACCGAGAATCGATATGTATTTTATCGCCATACTTTTTATAAGGACTGTGGAAAACATGATAACAAAATTTAACAATCCGATCGAGGTAACGCATACTGTAGAACAGACTTTTTAATTGTATTGTAACAATTGTGTTGTGTTATCTACGCTCGTTGTATGTACGTCGCGCGTACTTATATAATTATATAAATATCAGATTTTAGGAAACGTCACTGATACTGAGGAGATAAGAACGTAGGTGCAATTTCTGTGGAAGCAACCTGGATTTTGGCTGTATTAATTAGTGTGTCGTTTCGATTATGAGGTCATGTGCACAGCACTCGTGGTTCCACTCTCGAAAATCCTATGACAATCGACGACACATCATTTCGGTTTTTGCGTCTGTTAACTGACCCGTAAAAATTATTCCATTACTTCTCTCTTCGTTCTCTAACCTAATAATTTCTCACCTGTGTCAATCCACAAAAGTAAAAGTAATTATTTGGCAATATCGCGAGCGTGAGGACGACACACTTATCTCGTTTATTTTTCGAATACTACCCATCTACAGTGTCTAATCGACTTGCGCTATACTACCGACGTTATACTACTACGTCTACTACTACCGACCATCGTCGTACTCGTTTTCGCGATAAGATATTCACGGTCAGTTAGCTGCGTCAGTTTCTTACCTGTTCGGAGTAAACGTTTCCTCGTCTACGCACGTCAAGTCGTTACTGCAACAGCACACACACGCCACTATAATATATACGATTCGCGCGGCGGCTTACGCGATCTTGGAATTGTTTTCATCGAATATAATAACTATCCTTTATTTCGCTTATCTGCGCACAGAGATATCGATCCCCGGTGCGACAGTCTGATATACGAGCGATTGGGCAAGTGATATATCATTGTTCAAGTTGAACGTCTTCTAGCAGTTCGCGACGCGTTTTGCTCACGCGAGCGGTTAATCCGCGAAAACGAAAGGTTTGATCGGATTTAATGAACTATAAAGATTTCAGCACGTAATACCTCAGTAAGAAGCGTAATTAATCGCTGCAAGCTCGTTTGCTCATCACGGGACAAACGCTCGGTTTTCTGAGAGTAGTGAATATATTTTATTTAAAAATAGACGGACTTATACGCTATATATATATATATATATATATATATATATATATATATATATATATATATATATAT